TTGGAGGGTAGGCAAGTCCGTAGTGTCTTCCCAGGGGGTGATTCGAGTGTGTTCGATCACCCCCCAGTCACAGACTTTACTAAAAGCGGCCCCTGCCTATTTCCCCCAGTCGTTCGCAATATTCACGCCATCTTGCTCGCGCGCATGCGGTCCCTGGGGGTGCGAAACTTGGAACTAGATCCGGCTGATTATAATCCGTGGCGTCAACGCTATCGACAATCCCCTTAGCTGGAGGGAGAGTGACCATTACCATGTCATTCCGATCCGACCGTTCACCCATTTGTTGACCGGATAGAGCTTGCCGCTTGCGGTTCAGGTGCAGCTGCCAGCCCCCAGCGCAATGCTTGAAATGTGAGAGAAGAACTAGTAGAAGCTTCTGAAGCGGCAACCGCACAGCATTGCCCTCTGGACCAGCGAGGATTCGTTGTTTGAGTGACAAGTCCTTCTTGCAAACTGCTGTGCCGCCAGCTTGCCAGCAGAAACTTCACAAGCCGGCAGGGATTCTTACAGCGTTTGGGTTTGTGGCATTACCTTAGCACAGCCCTATGGCATCTATAGCGCAGCTTCAAGGGCGGCTGAGCACACCATGCTGTGGGCCAGTCACTAGAAACACAGCGTCGCATGGTACAGAGAGCGCCGCCTGTCCCGTTGGCTTTGTTGGGCTTCGAAGGTGAGACGCTCATGGGCCCTTGTTGTAAGAAGAACGTCGCACACTTTTATCTAGCTTGTCGGGTCTGCAAAATGCTGCCGGTCTTGATGCTTCGACGAAGTTGTGTGAACCAGTCAATGCATTGTGTTGACGAATCATGTGGGCGTGGAAAAAGAACATCGGGGAGAGACTTGTGATCATCCCTGCTTAGCAGGGCCAGTCTTGCATTACTAAGCAATGACAGGTCTGTCTCATGATTGTTCAAGACGTGCTGGCTGTGTTATCAAAGACTTGGACAGCCCACCACTCTGCCATCGGGCTCGCTGTTGCGCTGTGTCATTGGTAGAAACTGCGTCACTTTCTGGAACATTTCATTTCAGTATGCCAGGCTAGTCTGGCACCCCTGGTTAGAGTTAAGGTTGCTAGCGGTGGGGATTAGTGGCTTTCAACATTGCAAAGTCCTTCATTGGAGGAGGTTTACACCCAAGTGACTTCAAGGAATAAGCTACTCTTAGTAGTTCTCCCTAGGCCCCCCAAAATGCCATTCTCACTTGCTTCGAGAGTAGACCGTGAGATGAACTCAGCTCAGGTAGGGGCTTGAACGTCCAAGATATGACCGTGCGCATCTGCGTTGGCCCCTGTAGGCAAGCACACTCCGTAACAAGAAGCTTGCGGTGGCACTCAAACGGGCCAGCCAGTAGACGGGACAGCCGACCGAGCCTCACCGTGCGGGCTGCGGATGCCACTTTTGGGGGCAGCGCAGAAGGTGCAGGTGCGCCTCTTAATTGTTAAACCGGACTCTCATCCTTACGTCTATCGATGCGCTTTGTGAAGTGTTATATCGTCCCGTTATTCTAGATTGCACCTTTTGCCCAAGAACATCAAGCCTGCCGCTCTAATGGTGTGTCAGAAGAAGAGGATGCTTCAATTCAAACCTGTCTAGCTGCATATACTCAGTTTCTCAGACCTTTTAATGAGAGGACGGGACATCGATATTGACAACTGGGTGAAAACGGTTTGTCTTTTGAGGCCAGTATTGGAGCACGACTAAGTCCTGGTGCCTCTGCCAGAACTTGCATACTATGCCTGAGGCCTCTGAAGGGAAATTCTTCAGTTGCTTTACCCTTGTTGGTATCAATGCAGTCCGCAGTTCACGCGTTGAAGTCAAAACGAAAGCGCTCAATGTACACCCAGACTCTTGTTTCCAGGTCGTCGGTTTTCTTTCGAGAAACAGAAGAGGGCAAACCGGGACAGTCAAGTCCTTAGGAATTTGTCAATTGCCATTACGGCCCCTCAACAACTCAAACGAGGGACCAGGCAATGGCTGTGCTTGCGGATCTAAGTAAACACCCTGTAGACCTTTCGTAACACGTGCGGTTGCTTAACAAGAGCTTTGAAAGTACATACTTGTAGAAGATGTTTGCAACAAGCTTGGCGTTCCTTCCTACTTGCAGGCGGCCCTCCACCCGTCTTCCCTCGCATCAAAGTGCGGGATCCGTACAAACGCCTCGGAATCGACGCTGACGCCACCGCTGAGGAGGTGCAGGAAGCGCGCAACTACTTGTACAAGCAGTACGAAACGCACGAGCCGAGCCGGGAGGCGATTGAGTGGGCGTATGACAAGATCATTGCGCAGGTAAGTCTGACTTGTGCAGGCCATTTGTATCTACTTCTCGTGACAGAGTGTCCCGTCCCCTCCCTGCGTGTTTAAAAGATAATTTGTCGGTGCAGAAAACAATACGTTTTTGTGGAGTGCCGAATCATAGGTCAACCGATGGAGAAGCCCAAGAGGAGGTATGCCTCTTGGGACGATGAGCACGGCAGATACGGATCTTCAAGTTCGTAGAAGCTCAGGAGGACTCTAAAAGGGTTTTCTCAAGTGCAGAGACGTGAGAGCAGGCAAGCGCATCAAAAAGACTACATAACCAGGATGTTGAATTTTGAAAAGGAAGCGGAACCGTTGCAGAACCTGTACAAGGAGACGAGTTTTTGTTTCTTCGAAACTCTCTCTTTGGTTCTTGGGAGCAGAGAACCGCTAGGCGACCTTCAAAGCAGATGTATTGTCCTTAGCTAGAAAAGCACACAAGGACTTCTTGCAGTCACAGCCTCAGAAGCACGAACTTGTTGGCTTTTCGTGTGCCCTCAGAACCTCAAGTCGCAAGCAGCACAGGAAGCATCCCGCCAAAGCGGCCAGATCCGCGAACTTTCGGTCTTCTGAGTCGTGAGATCCAGCCCAGATTGTACAAGCACATTAGCGGCAGGAAGCGCGGAACGAATCCTACGCCACTCAAATCGACAGATCCATCTCCACAAGATAAAATCAAACTCAAGGCTCGCACAACCAAAACGGTGCGCACAGCCTCAAGAGCCGCAAGAAGCGCAGAAAGGTATTCCACGTAGCTTTCCATTCGAAACACCACGAGATCCCTGAGGACTTGGGATGACGCTTGCAGAACCTCAAGAGCTGAAAGGCGTACGAGTGTCACTGTAAATCGGATCGGCAAAACGCCGCTTACGGAAGCCCGTAACCTTGCAGTCCTGATTCCCCACAACCCTATGATAAATGTCAAGTCCCTGCCCGTCCGCGAAACCTCAAGAGCCACAAGAAGCTCAGGACGGTATTCCACGTAGCCTTCGAAACGCCGCTTACGGAGATTACGGAAACCCGTAATCTTGCAGTCCTGATACCCCAACACTCTTGAGATTCTAAACCTCAAGTCCCTGCCCGTCCGCAGAACCTCAAGAGCCGCAAGAAGCGTGGGATGAACCTGAAGGCGGGGCTGGCCAAGAAGGAGGACCCGCTCATCCCCACCCCGCAGTTCGTCAAGGACTTCTTCAACAGCATCAAGACCCCCGCGACTGACGTCATCCTGAAGCGGCTCGCGCTGTACGTTGGGTTTGCAGCGTGGAGTGTGCTGCAGTCGTCGGAACAGGGCCCGGCCTTCCAGGTGAGCGTTGGGTTATATGTGGGCTGTTACGAGAGGCCCTGTTTTGCTTGGGTTGGGTTTGCATAAGCGGACAGAGTGTGCTGCAATCGTCGGAACAGGGCCCGGCTTTCCAGGTGAGATTCAGGCGGTTTGAGGGCTGTAACGAGAGGCCTGTTTTGCTTAAGCTGATTTCGTTTGGGCAGACAGGGTGCCGCGATCGTCGGAAAAGGGCCCGGTCTTCCAGGTAAGGATCGGGCGGTTTGTGGGCTGTGACGAGAGATCCTGTTTTGCTTCGGCTGATTTTGTTTGGGCAGACAAAGTGTGCTGCATTTGTCGAAACAGGGCCCGGCTTCCAGTTGGGGATCAGGCGGTTCGTGGGGTGGGCTGTGACGAGAGGCCCTATTGTGCTTCCGTTGTTTTTGGTGGGCAGACAGAGGATGCTGCGGTTAGCAGAACAGGGCCCGCCTTCGTAGGTGGGGGACTAAGGGGCTTGTCGGTTGATTGGATTGGAGAGGCCCTGTTTGAACCTTGAATCTGGTCATTGCACGGTCGATCTGAGATGCCTTGCCGTTGGCAGAGCAGGGTTCGCCCTCAAAAACTGTGAGGGGAGGGGTTTGCTGGTGGTTGCGGGATGAGGCTCTGTTTGGCCTCGGATGTACTTCGTGTGTTTAGGCGGCGTCTGTTGCAATCGGCCAGACGAAGCGCTCCCGTTTGAACTCCTCCCCCCCTTTGGAGGAGGCCAAGATCTTGGTTACCCTCACACAAACGATCCTGTCGATCGTGTTGCTTCAGCATCAGGCTGAAGTAACCTTCCCGTGTGAATCGTTGTTTTGCTTGCTATCGTCACCGCAAGTTTCTCCTGCTACCATTGTTTCCCCTGCGAGGCCCTGCCGTTCCTTGCGGAGTCCGCAAGGCTGAATAACAATGGGGGTCTGAATGCGAGGGATTTGCAAAGGGCAGATCCACCGTGCATCTCAACCGGGGCCCGACGACGTTGGTTCGAGAGGCTTGTGGCCAAGAGCAGTATTTCAAAAGGTATTCTACGGGGTCGACATGACGGAACTGGGTCCGATCTCGTGATGGAAACAGAGTCTTCTAGTACATGCTGAGACCAGCTGTTTGTGGCCCTCTGCAGCTTTTTGTCGCCCTTGCTACGACTGTCTACTTCCTGAAAGAAAAGACGCAAAAATGGCCTCGCTCGATCGGGCTAAGGTGAGGCATTGACACGGGTCTCCTCTATAGTGTCTTTTATTGGTGACTGCTTTGGGCCCGCATCAGTGTATGATAATCATGTTTGTAAGTCGACCTGTACTCATCCAGACGCATTTGCGGTTTCGTTGTGTGGCAGATTGGTTTCATTGAACGAGTCAATCTTCATATTTCTTTCACAACGGCACTTCTTTCTAGAAGTGTCTCATTAGGGGCTTTGCTGGCGATATCGACCACATCTCTTCTCCTGCATTTGCCCCCACCCGCTTCCATCACTCCACCGGCCGCGCTGTGGATACATATCGACAGCCGCCCTCGGAAAAGACCTTCGGAGCCACGTTTTCGCTAAGCCTTTTATGCTTCGCCCCTCCCCAAGTCCTGGAAATCATGAAACTTATCAGGGAGAATGTAAAAGCATTTCGACATCCAAGAACTGCAGTTCTCAATTCGCTCTCTCGTCGTGCAGTCTGGCGGCCCTTCTAGGGGGATGGTTCGTCGGCTCCGTCGTTCCCGTCGCTCTTGCCGCATTCATCCCGCCGACGCTGGGGCCCGAGTTGATCGCGGCGCTGTTCGCGTACGCCTTCCTTTGGGCGGCCGTTGTGTTCTTGAACTAGAAACGTACTTGAATACTTGAAGAGAGACTGTCCTCCTGTTACAAGGACGCCGATTTTAACGGGAACATTTTTTGAAACCAGGAGTCCGGAAAGTCATGCTCGAATGAGGAGGGCACATGGTTTGTTCTCAACTCTCAACTGGCGACCGTTGAGATCTTGAGAAGGAAAAAGTATGTCGGGAGTTGGAAAATAGTCTGACGTTGGAAACGTCTAAAGTCCATTCTACGAAGATGACCCTCATGGGATTGTGCTCATAATCACCAATAAAATGTTTCTTCCTAGTCGCTTTTTGATTCATCGCCTGATGGAAATGTTGGACGGCCAGCGCAGGTTGTGTGGTGTGGTTGACCTATAATCGGATCGGGGGTGTGCTTAATTTCGTTTTATGAGGCTCCTTAGTAAAAAAGGCCGGCAAATGCATACCTGCAAGCAATTATGAGCTTATATCCATTTCACGTGGACGAGAAACTGCGTCATTATACCGTCCGCCGGGGCGCATGAATGATTGAATCGATGAGAAATTCTTGAAGAATTTACGACTCGGAGCAAAGGGGGTTCGAAGGTTGCACCACTGTCTGTTACGTGTCCCCACTGGCCCTCAGTTGGCATATTTGGATGCAACTTGGAATCAGCTAGAGGCGCATTTACCATGCACTTCGGTGCACCTCAAGCCAGACGGCCAAATGAATGACATGATTCGCACTGTATCACCAAATCAAGGTCGTCGGTATGGCCGCCCAGAATCAGGCCCGGGCCTCAGACTGTCTCTCTCGACACATCCCCGCATGCAATTTAAGGAAGTTTGGCATGAAGTCTTGAGCCCGACAGTCGTTCTTTGCGCTCTAGCTTTGATCGACAATGGACACAGATCTGTTCAATCACACATCACTCTTGACTCTGAGGGGATCCCTCCAAACGGCAAGCCTTGCGCAAAACCGCGAACTCCAGCCACCACCGGGGGGATGGGTGGGGCCAAGTAGGTTAAGGAATTTAGGTTGGGGACAACTCGAACTACACCAGCAGATTAACACTGGGTTTAGGCCAGGTACACACCTTGGTTTGTTTGACCGGGGAAGTGATCGAATGCAACCGAGACTGGGCAATCATGTGCCACTGCTTCAGTAGTGCGACAGTAGTCAGAGCGGGGACAAGGAGAATCGGTACCGGACGGAAGCTAAGGCTAGGGGCTGTTGGAACCCTCAACGTGACGTCAGCCTTAGGTTGCTATGTCTTCTTGTCTGCTATCGGCCGTCCAAATCTCAGCTACACAGCATCCGACGGTCTGAGGTGCGTTCGCAACCCTAACTCAGGATACAGGCAATTTGCAGATCGCAGCCCGTCGGATAACCACTCATACAGGATCTAACGCTTCAGAATCGGAGAGGTCCAGCTTTGGGTTGTCATGAGGTCAACCGCAAATCCAACAGGCCCCAGCCTTAGCTTCCGTCCGGTACCGATTCTCCTTGTCCCCGCTCAGTCAGCATCCTCGCGGCGTTGGGGCGGCATTCACCACTGGCTGCTTAAGCACAAGCAGAGCGAAAGTCAGAAGGAGATCTGCAGGCCGCGCTTCGGGCCCCAGCTTCAAGAGCTGAAGGTGGGTCCGGGCCTGCCTAAAGTGTTCTCTCGCGTTTCCTGAATTATTCTTGAATAGAACGGCGATCACGGGTTATGGCAAGTCGCCGAAGTTGGGCTGAAGCACCTGCCAGTGGTGGTTGCTTCCTGAGTTTAGGTCACTTCGTGGAGGTTTGATGCATATGATGGGACCACCATCTGCATCATGAGACCAAGGATGTCTCTCCTAATTGAGCAGCCTGCAGTTGAACAAAAACAGGCTGCCAATTTTGGTCAACTCATTCAGAAAGTTAGAAGCTGCGATTAGAAGCTGCGACTATCCCTAAGATCAATACTACCAAGGTGTTGTATCCAGGCAAAGGAGTGAGGACCGAGTAGCAACGGATACACCGGGGATTTTTCTGCACAGCAACCTCGCTCATTTTGCTCTAGCTTCTTTTGAGAGATTATTCCCAGCCTCTCTCGAGATGTGACTTTCATCTCTGCCTGTTGTCTCGCTTTGTCAGCACCGCCATCTAAGCTGGCCAATGCTTAGGCCAAGTACTGCTTCCTGCTTAGGAGACAAGGTCTGGACAGACATGAAGGCCATCTAATCAGGCCTTCTTCCTGATTGCAATACAGTCTGTCTTCAGCTTCTTTGTTCACATGACATCATCAGTGGTCGCCAGGTTAAGGTTCGTCGCTGTCAGCTTTGTGATTTCACTCTAAAAGTAGACGAGTATGGAATGGCCTCCTTCCTTTGCAAACCCAGAAACCGAATGATTAGCCGTATCACCGCCTCTACTCACAGCACTTTTCCAAAACTTGAGGCGTTCTCCTTTCAGAGATGGCCACTTATACCGCCGAGATTGAGTACGTGGCAAGAGGCGAGGAGCCGATGGTGTTTACAGTGCAATGTGTGGCCGGACCAACACCGGAGGAGACGGTGGAGGAGTTCGCCAGTGAGCTCTGAAGATCCCCTTGCTGCAGTCTGGACGGGCACGACACTGTCTTTCTTGAAGAGGCTGTGCTTTCAGACTGAAACCGCTGAGCACCCTTGCCTTCCATGATGTGCCTCTTTCTTGCATCCAAGCAGTATGTATATAGACGCCTTCTTCCTGCCTCCAAGTGGAGACCTGAGCTGTAACGCCCGGGAAACCCCTTCGTTCCCACGACTTTCTCAGTTTTCACTTTTTTTTGCAGGTCGGTGCCTAGATAAGTGCAGGCAGTCTACCGATCTTCCGGAGGGTTTCTTGGCCAGAGTGATTCTGCCCCACCGCGGGGAGATGCTGCGGCTCGACCGGGGGTCCTGGTCTGCCCCCTGCTCCGGTAGACTCATATCTTGACTGGTGATCTTTGTTTGTTTTCATCTGACTTGCAAATTAGTGACTTGCAATCAAGCAGAAGATTCCCTCACCGTTGACAACGCATGTTGTTAGAGATACATTCTTGTCACTCTGCCGCTGCCTGCAACACTTCTGACAAGGATCATGAAGGTCAGGTTTCATTCTTCAAACTGACGACTGGCTTGATTGTTTGCAATCAAGAACTGACGGCTTTCAAATCTTTTTGAGCCTGACTAGCACTCTTTTCCAAGCGACTAGAAAACAAACAGCGAGAAGATTCCCTGAAACTTCCCGTGTTTTCGGGGAAGCATTCGTGTCATGCTGCCGCACTCTTCAAACCTTTCTGGCAAGTACGGAGATCGATCTGCTTTTTGATCAGAAAGTGACGCCTGACTTTCTTTGCGTGACAAGACAAGAAAGGTGCGGGTACTGCCGCTGGGTCTGTTGAAATCATTTCGCCGTTCAGTGCAATATATCTTGATCCTGTTGACACAGATACGATTCTGACCTTTCTAAGCAGAAATGCGAAGTTGCTTGATTAACTCTGAGTTTCTACCACGCGCCTTTTGCAAGTTCGTCGATTACGCTGAGGTCCTGACTGTTGCACACGGTGCTTTTCTCCAGTGGTGCTTGATGACAGCCTCTCGACTGTGAAGGTCACCATCGTTGACCGGGAAATGAACCGGCACATGAAGAGTGTTCGTGAAACTTTTGCACGGAGACCATTGTAAGGTCACCGTCGAAGCAGACTGCAAAAGGGATAAGGCTGCCAGGTTCGGTGATAGACGATGTACAAAGAAGCACTGTAAAGCTGCCCCCCCAATAGAGGCAAGTGCTGTCCTCGAAAAGCCGCGCCACCCATTTTATAGAAGTACATGGTTTACGACATTAAACATCTCCCGCGTTGCACTTTCTTGTTGTATTGCACGCTGCCAAACGCATGCACGTATTTGTACAGGACTTGACGATCCGCGATCAGGCCAACGTCTGTGGATCCGATCAAATTTGCGCGTGAGCTTTGATGATGGGCAGGCTTCGAGATTGCGGATACAATTGTTGTGACAGACATGAGTACACCTCGGCAGCGCCCCTAGCTAGACGCATAATCGTATGCTGCACACAGTTATAAGTAAAAACGATGTCAGCTACTTATACGCATGCAGTTCAATTCAAATGACCAAAGTTCAAGGTTGCTCGCGTGCTCTAGTACGACTGAGCGGAATGATTCTAGCTAGACAAGAGGCCTCACGAACCGTTCAGTGGGCACTCCGGTCATATCATGGCATCAATTATGGACATTCTTCGGGCCAATCTCCACGTTGAAAAGCTGCACTTAAAGTTAGAAAGATCGCGACCGCTTATATAGGTGCATGCAATAAGTAGATCGAAATGCCTTTAGGCAACCTGCGTAGCAGCCCGCCACTTCACACAAGGCGCCCTCTCAGAAGTGTTGGCAAAGGCCGGTACGTGGGCATCTTATCAAAGAGTTATGGCCTTGAAATAGGGCCGCCGGCGGTCTTCACTTGATGGAGGACGAAAGGGCGATAGTAAAGTCTGATGCCTTGTGTTTCGAAATTCACTTAAGATGGATGTGCGCAAGATCACGTGCACTCACGCCAATAGAATCACGAAGTGAGACAAAGCCGCCCTTCTAATCTTGGGAGGCAACCGGTCTGGCTTCCGATACTAGTCCCTATACAAACCCTCAGCTTTGTTCCTTTTGTTTCTTCTCCTTCGCCAACTTCTTATAATCAACGTTCGGGTCGAAATCGTCGTCGAAGTCCGCCTCCAAGTCCTCCGCCTCAAACTCCAAGAAGTCTTCCAACGTCTCGAACTCTTCCGCATCTTCTAAGTATGCATCCTCTTCGTCCCACACCCACTCCTCATCCCCCTCTTTCGCAGCCTCCTCTCCGCCCCCCCTTTCCGCGGGCTCGATCGCCCCCCCCATTGCATCCTCGTCCTCCTCCGCCCAGCCCCGTACTAAAGCTTCCGCTTCCGCCAGTCTTCGACCGGACGCCCCTCCCGCATCTTTCCGTTCCGAGCTTTCTTCCGCGTCTCCCGAATCAATGCTCTCAACTCGCAACTCCCGCTCTTCGCCCCCAACTGCCGCTTCTTGCTTCATCGCCCTAGCAACTAGACCCGTCCACTCACTTTCCAAGTCGCTTTCTTCGTCGTCCTCTTTTGACACGCTCGTACCCGCCGCAGCCCCCGTGCTGACGTCATCCTCCACAGCGCCGCCGACCTGTGCACTCGTACCGACACCCTCTGTGCCGACATCACCCACCTCCCCGCTGACGTCTTCCTCCTCGTCTCCCCACTCTACTTCGTCGTCCTCTTCGATTTCCTTCAACAATCCCCGCACCGCTTTCTCGTACTCCTCAATCGCCGCCAGCTTCTCCGGGCTCCACGCGCCCGGCCGTAGCCTGCTGACGTCACCCTCCCCGCCCGCTGACGTCACCCCCTCCTCGGCCCGCCTCAGCGCGCGGTGCGCCAGGCTCAGCTGCTTGCACAGCCGCTTGAACGTCGCACGGTCGGTGCGCAGCTCCGCCGCCTCCATGTCCCGGAACGCGCTGATGACGTCAGCATACTGCCCGCCCCCGAAGAGCGCGTCGAGGACCGCCGTGTAGGTCGCCTCGTTAGGCGGCACACCGGCATCGTTCATGTCCTGGAGCCCATCCATCATTGCCCCGTACTGACCCGCTTTTCCTAACCCGTACACGAACGTGGTCCACAACCGCAGGTCGGGCGCTAACCCGTCCTCCTTGACCCGCGCAAACCACTCCCGCAGTTTCGCCTCGTCCCCGGCCAAAGCATATGCCGTAACCATAGTGGTGTAGACCTTCAGGTTAGGCGCATAACCGCTCGCCCGCATAGCCCTAACCGCGTCTTCCATCTCCTCGAAGCGCTTGCAATGGCCGTAAGCGTCGACGATCACCGCGTGGGTTACGGAAGTCAGCCCTAACCCAGCTTCCTGCATTTGGCCAACTAGCATGGCGATGTCGTCACCCTCGCCGGCCTTCCCGGCAGCCTGGATGAGGCTCGTGTACGTGAACGCATTCGGAGCCACACCGCTGTTGACCATTACTTCAACGATGCTGCCGGCCTCTGCAACAGAAAATGAAACGAAATAAGCTCACCGTTATTTCAGGCTTTATTTTTTGCATCTTTCCAATTTAAGAACGCGTTTGGGGTTACGCCGCTGTTGACCATCACTTCAACGATGCTGCCGGCCTCTGCAAAAGAAGACCAAATACTGTAAGATTCTTCAGGCTTGGTTTTTGCGTGTTTCCAATCGTACGAATGCGTTTGGGGCCACACCGCTGTTGACGATCACTTCGACGATGCTGCCGGCCTCTGCAAAAAGAGACCAAGCGAGTTAAGCTAACCGACATCTCAAGCTTAGACCTAGGTAATTTTCTACCAGAAGAATCTGAATCATATCCTGAACGCCGCTGCCAGCGTCTAACGAGAGAGCAGAGAACTAATCAAAATGTTGGGAAAATCTCGGACGTGTGTCATTTTGAGGAGAGTCGCAAGGTGTCTTCCATGGCAAGGGCAAATGCAACAACAGCCGCTGTTGACCAGACAAAAGATCGACGATGCTGCCAGTCTCTGAAAGAAACGTCGAAGTTGCCAGTCTCTACAACGGAAGGCAGGAAGCTCAGCTTCTCGCAACCTTTGACCTTGATTACGCCTTTGACCTTGATCACGGGATTCCGCTCAGAAGCTGCTCGTGACCCGCGAAACAAAGCGACTTAGCAAGGGAACGGTAAACGATGTAATCTATCACTGCCGCTATCTCTCAAGCTGTAGAAACGCTCCGTGCCGTTCAGCCAAGCTTGCTCGAACCAACCCGGATGATCAGACACAACGCACTTCATTGGAGCGTACTGCTCAGCACAGTGCACGTCCTCACTCCAAAGCCCCTCAGTTTAGCAAAGGGTTAATTCACTCAGTCCAGTAATGGTTCATATCGCGCATGGCGTTTCAAGCGAGTTCGACCGGTCTGAATCCACTCGCTGTGCCGAAAGTGCGGAACACGAAACCTCGAATTATCCAGCAGTATACCCCCGAGATCTATGAACGAGCCCACCTGTGTAGTCCCCGATCGCCGCGCACGCCGCCACGAGCGCCGAATACGTCACCACGTCCGGTTCGTACCCCGCGGTACGCATGTCGTAAAACACGCTTAGCGCCTCGTCATATTGCCCGCACCGCCCGTACGCGTCAATCATTGCGGTGTATAGCGTATTGTCCATCTTCTGCTTCTTCCGCTTCATGTCGTAAAACATCGTCTCAGCCGACCGCCAGTTCCCGGCCCGCGCGTAGAGCTTGATCATCTCGGTGTAAATGTACAAGTTGGGGGAGTGCCCTGCTTTGCCCATTTCCTCCAACACGCGCTCTGCCTCGGCGACACGGTTGGCTGCGACGCACGCGTGGAGGAGCGAGCTGTAGACGACGAGATCGCCTTTCAGCCCCGAGCGCTCCATCCTGTGGCAAGTCGAGAAATTGACGTCAGCATAATCCTGGCAGGTAAGAGCATGAGCATGCACGTCGTAAGGGCGTAGACCACAGACAAAGGTTATATTTATCCCGCAGAAAATAAGAAGATCAGGTCGCAGTGGAATCCGCAGCGCACGGGGAAGAACGGGTTGTTGACGCTGCAAAGATGATCTTCTTTCCGGAAGCAAGGAAGCAAAGACAACAAGGACGACTCGTATATTTAAAAGGTACACTTCGTCCTTGAAAAGCAAGAAGACAAGAACGTAAATGAGGCCGAGAGCCAGAATGTTCGAGCAATCTAGGAGGCCCGTAGCACTGAAAAGCTGGGTGAAAAATAGACCAGCCCCTAGCATGAAATACACAGCTACACGGTTTCGACGTGAAGCTCCGTGTCTCCTGCATTTAACGTACAAACAAAAGACTGTTGTCTCGAGTAGACCAACGCAAAAAAATTCCATGTTTCCAAACTGAGTTCAGTAGCGGTTGGTGTGAAGAACCGGCACTAGGATCGATAGCGCACGGTCAGGATCAGGAGCAACTGCCCGAAGTTGAGAAGCTGAGACGAGCATCGACTCGCCAATCAACCACCTGCTTTTAAAGACCAAATCGAAAAGCACTCCCAGCTCGAAATGATGATAAAGAAAAGGCGTAGGGTTCAAGTGCGCACCTGTCAAAGAGCTGGAGGGCCCTGTCGAGGCCGAGGTTGCCCTTGACGCAGGCGTTGATCATGTTGCTGAACGTGTAGGCGTCCAGCGGCAGGGCCCGCTCCTCCATGTCCTGGAACAGTGAGAGCGCCTCGGGGACCAGCGAGTTGCGCGTGTAGCACGCCAGCATCTGGAGGGAGGGCAGGGATAAAAATGACGTCATGTGAATGGATTGGAGTGTGTGTGAGTGTCTTCTCGATCTATTGGAAACCGAGGACGAAGAGTCGGTGTAAGGTTCCAAGATTGAGGGACTACAGCGGAAGCTGTCCCTCGCATATGCACCAGCATTGTACAGGGGGAATGAAAAGAATGGAAGGAAAGTCGTTGCTTTTGAAAGTGACATTGGGAGCTGTGAAATGCGTGTGATAGTAAGAGAGAGACTGCAACAAGAATTCTCTCTCAATGCGATTGTGTAATTGCTACGAAGTCCCCGGTAGTTTCGCAACAGCATGCAAAAGAATAAACGAGGACGGGAGAAGAACTGAAAACACGCCGCGTCGCATATGCATCTGTGGGCTGAGGATTAACCAAAGAGACACCATTCTTCACTGATCCCCTTTTCAGTTGAATGGCACGTTTTCAAAGGCAATAAAGGCCCCAATCAATATACCCGTGTCCAACCAGAACTAAGCAGTTCAAAAGCAGAGCGCCCTTTTCCGACTCCGGACTCGAACCTGTTGTCTTTCACAAAGCATACCGCCCCCAAAGGAGATCACCGCTTCTGTCCCTCCTTTGATGTGCCAAACAAGAGGGGATCGTTGAAGCACAACCACGAATACCAGGTCCAATCTTCCTCTCCATGGGCCTCGCATGTCAGACTGGACAGATTGACACCCGGGCTTACCGCGTTGTAGTGGAAGATGTTGCGCTCGACCCCCTCCTCCTTCATTGTGTCAAAGATCTTTTTTGCGGCTGCCACCTGGTGGCTCCGGCCCAGTGTCGCAATGATGTTGGTGTACGTGTATGCGTTGGGCTTTTGGTAGCGAGATGCGTGCATCCAGTGGAAGACTGCCAGCGACCGGGGCCAGTCGTCCTGCAAACATTGACGTGAAAATTAAGTATACTTTTCTTCTGGTTCTAAGAGTCACCCTGCCCCTTTGCTGGGCCACGGCCAAGTGGTGAGACACAGAAGATGCTTATTGAAGGAATTTATCATAAGGCTAGTAATTCTTACGCAGCCTGGGTGAAAGGGGCGGTCACAATATATTAGACGGGTAGATGACTAGAGTGTAGCGGGAAGCTAAGGTGTCATCCTTGCTCAGAGCTAAAGGAGGCCAAAAAAAAAGCACAAAAGCAGCAAAGCATTCTGCGGGAGAGACATGTCTCTAGAAAGCGAAATCATGCCAGGGGGTTTGAAGCGGTCAGGTGTTCAATGAGTACTCACTAAAGTTGGCTAGTAACAAGGGAGAGAGTAGTAAGTTGGTCAGACTATTTTTGGGCCCACTCGCCAAGCGTTGGAATAAGGAAGCAACCAAGAATCGCAATATCTTGGAAGAACAGGCATTTAACCACACCACCAGCCATATCGAAACATAAAGAGCACACTTCATACCACCAGCTATCGCAGAAGCAACTGAAGCTTTGCAAGTGAAGAATGCCGGCAGAGGGGGCAGAAAAAGAAGTGACACTGTGCGACCACCTTCATCATCAGAGGAGACACAAGATCTTCTATTTCGAAATTGCATGGCTGTGAAGTGTTGTAAAAGGGGGAGCAAACCCAGAGACACAGCATATTGAAGAGTTGCGCTAGGAAGCTGTACACTTGATTGTGATTCTTCACAAATGTGAGGAAACCTCACTCTACTTGTTCACATAATGCAGGAGGAAGCTTCAACAGAAGTGGTACAGTACTACAGAAAATCTGAGATTGATGGCTACCCACCAGTTTGCCGAGCCCCTTCACCACGTCATTCAGCGACTCCACACTGGCCCGCCCCGCATACTCTGTCATGACATCGTCGATGCTGGCGCCAGCTGGCAGCCTGCCGAGCGCCCGCAGCAGTTCCTCTGCTCGGCCCCGCGTCCGCATCCCCGTCGCCTCCCACTCGATGCTCTCGCGCACCCATTTCCTCGCGCTCTTCTTGTCCACATTCCCGCGCCTCCACCTCTTCTCCAAGTCCACTTGTGCGAAGTCCTCAGAGTCGACATTGGACGACACCTGGCTCTGATGGCTGGGTGTCGGTTGCAGAGAAAGGGACTCGCTGGCTGGTGTAGCGAAAGGTAAGGGCAAGCGACCATTATCAGGGGAGGGGCGAGGTTGCAAGTCTGCCACGGCCCGGCAGAGGAGAGGTCGAGACCGCAAGCTTAAACAACGCGTCAATGGCACCGTCGCTTTGAAGCCGGCATTGCGTAGCTGGCACTCGCTCCCAACGTCGTCACTCAACCTCGACACCCAATGTGAAGAGGCCCTGGTATGCAAGAGCAACGACTCTGCAGCGGCCGCCATGTTGTTGACGTCCCTGAGTCGCTTGCGAGTGAGCTGTAGCCTGTTCCTGCCCAGCACCCGAGTCTATATACTGGCACTGATTATACTGGTCATGAGATTTTAGGGTTTGACTCCGAAGCTTTTACAGTTACCTGAGGTCCGTTACCTTTACCGGTCAGAGCGCCGCGACCAGCTAGCTTTCTTAGTCTAAAGTCGCGCGGGCCTAGTTGCCAGCGCGTTGGTAGGCCCGTCGAAGGACGTCCGCACTTGAGCACATGTGTTCAGGATCAGCATCGACCGGACTGAGCCGTCAGAGATCTAGGCTCTCTTAGAAGAATTACTTCATGCATATGCCAGCAATGAATTATTCATGTTGTCGATCATGGATTGGCTGGCCGCGCAGCCGTGGCACTGATATTCCGATTGAATGAACACCCACTGAGGACGCTCACGCGCTAGAGTACGCGTCCCGTTCTCTTGTATAGGATGTATAGGGTCTCAATTCAACTGGTGCAAGCCTAGCTGTTAAAGCTGCAGGTCTCGGATCTGACTCAGTATATCCCAATTGCTAGGCAAAGTACGGTCGTGCACATAATGACAGGGGCGGCACGTGCAGCTAGATTCATTAGCAGCAGATATTGGAACCTGAGCTGCAAGGAACTCAACGTTTTATGCCTCATAGACAGCGTAGCTAGCACAAAGCTTCCAGCAGCAGTAAGAAAATCAAGCATCTGAGCATCGAACAACCTGACCGAATCGTAAAGCATATTGCACATAGTGCTTGGTGAGTAAATCGGTTGGTCGCCACTTCGCAGGACTCTGAGGCTTGTGCTAGCCACTTTATTGGTGCACGAAGCCCCTTAAACACATTGTAACTTAAACCTTCGCGACTTTCTACATGTAAACAGGATAAGCTGTACACTTGAATGCCGATATCGACGAAGCCCTCTGTTGAAAGTTCTGTAATTGTATCGCTCAATCTCATTCAATTGCGTTCTGGAGGATTCCAATTCCTTCCACCGATATCGTGACGGTATCACCAGGCACCAGCCACCGTGGCGGCTTGAAGCCCGCACCAACACCTGCAGCCCAATCGACGAAAACCAAAGAGCGTCAACTGGCAAGCTCCCTTAGTTCGTTACCTTTACACACCACGCAATATAGCGATGCTGGTGCTGTCACGTACATTTCACCTTCGACCACGTTTGAAAGTGAAGCATTGTTTCCGGCCTGAGGATCAATGATTAAGCCTCAGCATGTTCGCTTGGTGCAGATTACAAAGTCAACCGCGAACTCCAACTTTGGACAGATGAGCATCGCAGCAGAGCACCAGGTTCAAAAAGGGCCTTCGATTGAAGCCGCAAAGGCTTCTACAGGGAAGCCAAAGGCAGCAGCGACTCTACAACGGACGGGTGCCGTACCTGCAGGGGTTCCCGTGGCGATGATGTCACCCGGCTGCAGCGTGACGGCCGCCGAGATGGTGTGAATGAGGTCCCGGATGTCGAAGATCATCTCCGATGTGCGGGACTCCTGCGACAGAAAGCTTGCGTGATCACATTTGAACGACTTTTGTTTAAAAGCCAAGTTGAATCTTGCTGATAGATAAGGTAACCTTTCGGTCGTGAGCTTAAATCTGTGCAAACATGCGAACGTTCTCGTTCACGTCAGCAGTTTCGGCGTGCTGAACAATAGGAGCTAGTCTTTAAGCAGAAGTTTTAAACTGCGATTGGCAAATTGACATTGTAGACTATCTTCCGGGACTAGATTTGGGCCCATTTCGGCTCTTCTTCTAGGGGCGATTCGGTTTGGGGTCCTTTTCACCTGCCGCAGCTCCTCGTTGACCCAACACTTGATCCCCAGGTTCTGACCGTCGATTTGGGAGGCGGGGACGATCCAAGGGCCGACAGGACAGAACGTGTCGACGCTCTTGCCTAGGAACCACTGCAGGACGAAGCGGAGACGAAATCAGGGTCTCTCAGCGTTCACGCATCTTCGATAACCCAGGTCTACAAAAGCATTTGGCCCGGTCTATGGATGGGACCTAGACAACGTTTTGCAGTGGTTGACGTCTTCTTCCTGAACCGTATGGAATTGGCAGATGGTAGAAGGGGCCCCTGAGATGCATGCGTTGACATCACTCGTCGGAAAAGCCATCACTCGTCGGAAAGGCCCGAGAGGCTTTCAGATATCCAAGATCTTTGCGTCTCTACATTTACCGCAAAAGAATACATGACGGACAGCAGTTGTTGTTCAGTCTCTGGCCGGAGCGACTCTGGAAAACAGAGGGGTTTTGCTTTCGACCTTGCCGTTCGAGGCGCGTTCTTGAAGCAACGACAATGTCTTCCTTCTCTGCGTCAATCGGTTGGCTTTCGAACGGTACATTCAAAATATAGCGCTGCCTACAGGACAACAAAACTGCCCGCCTTCCGCTTACTTACCTATGAAACAATATGCTCCAAAGCCTCTTTCACAAAGGTCGTCTCGTGACTAAGGAGGCACACCGAAGAAAGTTCTATGTGCCCTTTCTCACCTGCTGATGGTTTCTTTGCAGGTCTCGGGCGGTGATGTCATTGAGAATGGTGTATCCGAACACGTGGCCCAATGCGTCCTCTCTCGAGATGCCGCGCCCGCCGGTCCCGATGACGACAGCAAGCTCTGCATGACGTCAGCGGGATTACCTTGAGTCACACGATGAGATGCAGTGCACTTTGATTCTTCAAGCAGTGAGGTGACTGAGAGTCGTCTTCCTCCCCTAAGAATCCTCTTCCGGAGGCAGTCGAAGCTGTGGGCAGATGCTGCTGTACAAAGCCTCCTTTCTTGACACGTCTGCATCGAAATCCTTTTACACCGACCCATTCGAAGCAGTGAGCAAGGTGAACACACCCGATCTAGAAAAGTGAGTGCAACCCAAGAGACTATCACACTGGGCTCATCGGGCGCTGCAGTCTGACTTCTGTCCATTTTCGACGGGCTGTGGTCACCACGTGCACTGTTGACATCGGAAAAGCCAACGCGACTCGACCTCCTGTGGCCGAGAACTTAACGGCTGAGAGAGCACTTCGGGAAAAAGTCCATTCCCTATTGAGACCCGTCCGGACGATATTCTTGTTTGACTGAATGAAACAGAATGACCCTAAAGACACGAGTTTGAACGAACTACAGGTCCACCAAGGCGGGCGCAACTCGCTCCAGAAAATTGTTAGACTGTACGCGAGAAGACTCTGCTGAAACTGGACAAATCTTCATCTCATGATATATTTAAAAACGCACTAATCGTGTGTCCTTTCCCTGATGAAGAAAATTAGCATCCTTGCTTGTACCTGCCTCGTAGTCGACTTCGGATGAGACGCCGTGCGGATACTGTACGGCTTCCCCCGGACCGATCACCGACTCGGCGGCTTTCGTGAAGATGATAGGAGTCTGCACACGGAACAGCAATGATTCACGCAACTTCTCCTTCTAGAAGGTTGGGTTTTCATGCTTTTTTGTTTGTGGTATGAGAACGCCCGAGCTATAGGGGCCGGATCTGCACGCAGAACAGCAATGGGGCGCTGCTATCGCTCGAGCTTATTTGTCGGTGTTGATTTTCAAATCGAAGCTTCATAGAACGTCAGCTCAATGAAATGACTGTCGAAAGGTCCGAGGTGAGGATTAAAGACCTGCTTCTTCGTCGGCCTTGTCCGACCGCAGAAAGCAAGCAAAGCGAAGTCGAATCTTGAGGGCCGTGTTGCTTTGGAGACACACTCGAGATAGTCTCTGATAGAAGACAGTTACAGCGTACTTTGGACGACGCGAGGAGCAACAGCGAGTTACTGTTGTACTCAAGAAAGCTGTCAGTGCCAGAAGGTACAGACCTCTACATGAAACACAGGACGTTGGAAACTTCCGGTGCACAACCCGACTCGGGACGAACCAAGAGGTTGATAGGAGTGCTTTTCGGAAAGACATGGAGACTGCCCAGAAGCTCGGCCCGGCCACGCTCGTGCACACCGTTCAACACATTTCATATGCTGCAGTGACTTTTCAACCTTCTGATCCAACCTTCTGATCGGGAATAGGTGACGAACACCAGTACTGACAGGCAAATCTTCGAGAGGAATTGCAGGCGGCCACCGAACCTCGAGCACGAAGCATGCCGCACGAAAAGCTGAAGAACCCTGTGACCGTGTGGCGAAGCTAATTTCGAGATTGTCAATAAGTAAGAACAATCTGGAATGCGTCAAAGATAGCACTTCGGAGACATCACCGTTCTGGAAGAGTGTCAGCCTCCGACAACGGCACAGCTCCTTACACATGAAGCTTTAACAAACTCCGGCCTTCGAGAAAGACAAGATATCCGGAGATGGACTCCACAAATTGAAAAATCGACCCCTTGACAGTCGTACAAACCAGGATCAAGCAATCCTCTTACGAACCTTGGACTTCCACATCACAAGCACACAAGAATCTTACAGTAGGCACACTAGGCTGCGTGATCCCGGGGCCCTTCCACGAGTCGACTTCCTTCACGTGCTCCTGGTAGTTCTTCCCAACGCACATGGGGGGCCGCACGACCCGGACTGGAGTCAGCAGCTTCACGTCCGCCAGGGAGGCGCCGGGGCTGTCTGGTTTACTGATGCTGCAGAAAGTGGGGAAAATACGGAGTAGTGAGCATGGTTGTCAGAAGCTGGAAAAGTGGGAGTGTTGCAGTATGGTTGATGATTATCAGAGAAAAGGCCTGAAAGCATCTTATCTCGGTGGGCCGTAAAGCTAGCTTCTGAGAGACCTGTGCTTGCCAGGGATCAAAAAGAGCTTTGCAGGACATGAACTACAAAGTGTCAATGCTGATTCCCATGTTCAATGCGAATCGCCTTTGCTAATGCAAAGAAGCGGAGATGACAAATAAGATGAGCATAATTCGTTGTTCGATCATCCCAAGCGGTTAATGCAAGAGGACATGGGCTATCAAAAGCGGGCACACCTGCTCTGCAGAGTGCTCCAGTTCCGAATTACCTCCAGGACCTCCAGATTGCCATGGCCAGGTAGCGCTTCCTCCAGAGGCCTGGTCAAGAGCGATCAAGTGATATAATTTAGCGCAACATCTGGACAAAGAGCTAATGCCAATGCCTAACAGTCTAGCGTGGCCATGGCAAAGAGAAGCAGGATGGACAGGTAACCAGGAGCCCCAGAACTCAACAGACTATCACAGGCAGATTGGGAAAAGCAATCTAGAGCCGATCTGAGGATTGTGCAGGACCAACCACATCAACTCTGCTCTACGCGATTTGGACTTCAGGTAACACAAGCACTCTGCTGACGGTTTAGTTCATACAAATGCACTGTTATCCCTCACCCAACCTCTGTTTCGATCATACCAACAACAATGGAAGGAAGCAATCAGGTTTGAGTAAAGCAGGCATACTGCATTTTGCAAGATTCCATCAACCAAAGCCCTCCATCAAAGTTGAAAAGTTGATTCCATGTTGGGCAATTCTCACCAGATCTGACCTCCCTGGATGTATCCAGCCGTTGCCTGACCTTCAACCTCAAAAGTTCCAAGTGCAAAGGATTCTGCAACGCAGAGAGGTAGTCTGAGAGCGGCAATTCAAAGGAGTGAGACAGCCACAACTTAAACAGCCCGCAAACAAGTTGGGTGGCTATGACACGAAAGTCAGTACATAGCGGTACAAGAAGCGGAGCGCTATCGTGCAAGGTTCAGGAGCATGAGTGGCATTCCAGAATCTGCTGCTGGGCACAGGATTATCAAATGAAAGAGTGCTCAGTAAGAACTAGAGCAGGAGAGTGCTCACAAACCTTCTACATTTGCTTTGGCTACCATGCCCCTTGGGCCACAGAATTAGAAGCGGATGTCATCACACAACATACCTGGCGCCAGGCCCCCTCTGACCAGCTCCCCTGCTGATCCTGTGACTGCAGAAGCTGGAGAAGCCATCAGAGTCCTGTGCCTGACCTCAGGGCACTTTTGCCAAACATACGAGCCCCTTTGCACTTGTCTAGCCGTCAAGTACTTGGATGTGTGAAAACCAAAGGGTACCGGCTGATTTGAATGCCGCTCCGCGCTGCAAATCTGTGACTGTGGTCTTGATTCCGCTATAAGAATGTCATACTTTGTGTGGAAGCGGCGATGAAGAGTTTGTGACGCTCTGAGAACAGGATTGCCTGCGTTGGGTGCAAGGTGGCTGCTGAAGAGGGCAGTGCCTAGCTTACAACAAATGCGATCGACGCTGAAGGCCTGCACCATCCTGGAAGAGCTGACGGATCATGGTAAGGCGACTTCGCCAGCAATGAACGTGTCTCAGTTCATCAGCACCTCAGAACCAGACCCGGTTGAAGTAATACCCAGATTAACACAGCGGCCCATGAGCTGTGCTTGCTCCTTGCTGCACTGGCAGCGCCACGGCCCAGCCGCCCTACTTTGAATGCAGCGCCGCCGGCTGAATTGAAAGCTCAAATTGCACGCCACACCAGGCCCGGCCTCAGGCCCTGGAGGGCCATGCCCATTGAAAACCTTTGCATGGCGGCGTTACGGTTTGGCCCCTGGGCTCTGGCTGGCAGCCCCCCTGCCGCCTTCTCGGACGGTTCTGAAAGCGTCGGCTACGTTTCATAATTTTTGAGTCCGAGTCCAAACCCAGATGAATATGAACACAGACATTCTGATACATGCTCGACTTGTAACGCCAGGATGCCATTAGAGTTGAGCCGGCACCAGCCGGCATGAAGGACTGGCACCCTGTCAAACTGAAATCCAGAGGCTGCAGCCATGCCATGTGTTCAGACTCCTGCGTACGAAACTTTGCTCATCATCTTCTTCCATGCATGTCTCTTGAGGGAGTGCTGGCGCTCCAGGTGCTTTGTGCTGGCTTTGTGTGGCACCTAGAAGTCGGTCAAAGTGCAAGTAGGAAGCCTTCGACGCCCCTTCGACTTGAGCGCTGAGCCTGGAGGGAAAGATGCCAGACGCGGTTTTGGCAAGGGAGCCTAATGTCATGACTGGCCACTTTGGAGGGTGTTCTTCTCAGCTCAAGTAGCAACTACCTTCAAGCGGAAAGGTAAGTTTGAAAGTACTGCATCGTCTCAGAATCAGTGTCTTTCCTCTTAACCACGTGTGACTGGCCCCCGAGCTAGCAACATCAGGGCTGCGAACCTCTCTCAGTGGCTGCTGCCTTGTCTGATACAAATGCAGGTCGTTCCTTCAGAGTAGGTGAGGAAAGCACGGCAGCATTGTGAGTCTCTCTGTCACTAAAAAATTGAGCAGTACGATTTTCCATTTTGGTTCTGCGGTATGGTGGGGCAAATTGTATCGTCTCATCCTCCTGACTTTGTGAAGCAGGGTGAATTTTGAATCCGGTGGTTTCTGAGCTGCGCTTTTCAGTGTTAGTCTTATGTTGTGCAAGTTCAACGTAGACTCAGTCGTGAGCAGAACCAGGTTCAAGATCAGGATGTGGTATCACCTGCAGTGCATAAATCTGTCTTGTCTTGTCAAAACCTCACAGAACAAGCAGCAGGCTCCATCATCATGCTGGGTGAAGACACCGAAGATATTAAAATGCAAAATCATTGCAGCGATGGAGTGGTCCAGAAGCAAGCAGCAATGCATCGTCTTTTGAGCCGATGGGCTGAATGGCTATCGTTGGAGTCAGTAGGAACTGCTATCCGGTCTGATTTCCCACCAGATGCCCTGAAGTCGTACTTCTGATCTGCCTAAGGCTTCTACCACTCCAATGCGAATCTTCTCAAGAACGAGGTGTTGGGGAGACTCGTTACAACACCTTGTTGTCAACTCAGAAGGACCTGTTACCTTGATAGAGAGACCATTCAGCAAGGTTGGCAAAGGCTTCATTGGAATAACTTGCTCCGAAGCAAGTTTAGAACAATAGCACCATTGTGCAAGCTGCCCGCTTGAGATACAGTAGCGCAGGCGAGTCGCTGTCTGAGAATTGCTGAGGGGAAAGACATTACAAGCATCACGCAGTTCTTTTCAAGGCATGCCAATAATGGCAACTCACCTTCCGTCGATCTCCTTGCAGGAAGTCAGCGTTGCGCGCTGTGCGCTGTCTCGCGCTCTGTCTCCACGTTCAAGCAAATGACAGGAACCTCTTAAGCGGATGGCGCAGCAAAACAAGTACCAGTGTTTTAGCCCGGGCAACAAGAGAAGGCTTGGAGTCATCCTGTTCTTGTGGATCATCGCGCTCTTGCCTCATGTTGTCCCGGTTGATGGTGAGTTCCTTCACAGACAGGTTAGCTTAGACAGCTTACCCATCTCTGCTACAGGAGTTACATGTCCGGGCAGCATACTGTGTAGAAACAGTAGTAGGAGGACTTTGTGTGACCAGTAACCTGCTTGTGTCAAAGTATGCGCTACCAAGTTTGTTATGCGGCAAAACTGGTCAATTTGGTGCAGTAAATTTCAAATCCGAGTCTTCAGTATTGACAGACACCTTTTCCATCCACCCAGCACCTTGCACTTTCGTGGGCCACATGTACTGGGATTCTGGACAACTGCAAAGTCACTGAACAAGATTACACCCAGATTGAAGGGCGTCTCAGGATCAGTGCACCTTGACCTCAGTTGCTCAGTGACTGTTTGGTCGCGTCTCCTGGCAGCTTGCTTGACATTGAGTTTGATTGACCGTTCAAAGCTTCGTGAAAGTCACAAGGCGATCAATAATCACCGCTGATCCCAGCTAATCCACCTGAAGAGTGACCGCACATGTAAAGCGATGTGGACTGTTAGTCTGGTTGGCCGTCTGATTAGAAAGATTTGCAGAGTTTGTCGGCAGTCTGCCCCCCTCTTTGAAGTGCGCGTCCATTTATGAGTAATCCTTGTTTTGCAGGAAGTGCTAGAGTCCTCCAACAAGCTACCGTCACAACCTGCCCTCTCATCTTCACAACCGAAGATGTCCAAAGCACGGTAGATGTATGTGGAAATGGTAAGGACTGTCTCTCATCAGAATTCTGCGCGGTGATTTTCGCAGTTGACGCTCGGATCTAGGTGTTCTTCTCGAGAATCTGGTGTCCACGATAAACGAACAGTCAACACTAAACGAACAGTCTCCACCAGAACAAGCTTTGCATTATCAAGTTGCCCTTCAAGCATCCCCAAAAAGGTTTTTCCCTCACGAGATAACGTGTTGAGTGCCCTTTGTCCTGCTCGACTGGTCTCTTGCACATCTGAAGAAGAGTTTCTACATCGCCGGGGCGTCGTCGTGCGCAGCAACTTCGAGACAAGTATTGATATAGAAGGCGTTTTGCAGGTACCACGAGTTCTGGAAGCCTCTCCTTTGGTCCCCAATGCTGCAGACGTGTTGATGGCTTACTGTACCAGTCGTGGGTTCGCCATGCAAACAAAACGGACCAACTTCTTATATCCAAGGATGCAGCTACGGAATGCTTTATGGTGAGCGAAGGATGGGGATACTAGAAAAGCTATGCAGATCCATGCGCCAGGCTCGATTGTCCTTGGTGCTCCAGCTTTATCAACTTATCAAGACACTTTAGATTGACGAACTGTGAGTTAGAAGGATGATGTTCACAACGTCAATCTAACAGCAAGGTCTGTATGTTACCTTACAATCATCGGAAGGGCTCGAACCTTCAAAAAAGGCTCGTTATTTCTAGGCTTGTCTTTCACATCGCCTATCCGACTCAATTGATTGAGAACTACATCAAAGATATATCTAGGAGATTTCATAAAATGGTTCCTCATCAGATTCTCCTAACCTATCTCAGGTTTTGGAGGCAGCCCTGGCGGCGGTCGGCTTTCCAAGAAACGGGTTAGCAACCTGCTTAGGGAATAGCACCAAGCTGTGGAGACCTGCTTGCGGAGATACTCTGACAACTGTAGCAGCTTTCGAGAAGTTGACGAACTATTCGTACCCTGGTAAGAATGATCACCGACCAAGTTCTAAGATGCTTGAGTTAGATCCGTTGCCCCGCAGATTGCAGTACTCCGTTCAAAATCCTTTTCGATTGGTAAAAGGATTTGGACTCTTTAACCTTTTTACTTTAAGCTTGCTTATTGTCGAATTTTTCTGCATGCACAAGGAACGCCGTTTTGACACAGAGTGCTGGTGAATACTAAACATTTGGATTTCTAGCAGTCAAGTTAGCAAGGGGATGTATCGACTACGTTGGCCCATCTTGGCACAGATCTGATTCTCAGAAGGTTGCGATAGGGCGTCTCAAACTGATGTTAAATATAGAAAGCCCCGATCTTGCTTGGTCGCACCTAGTGGACGTTGTGGCTTCCTACTTCTTTTTGGGCAGCAACTGCTTTTCTGTTTCACCTTGCTCGTTTTACCTTGCTACTCAGAGAGTTTCTCGTTTCGAGTTGAAAAGCTTTGCACGGTATGAGAGTTCGTGGTAAAACAGCTCGTAAAAGCAGAGCGACGCGCCATAAGAGAGGCTAAGGGACGCAAAGCTTGCTGCCAATGGTCTGTTTGCAAAGTGAACAAAGCGTTGTGCCACTCGCATGTGCAGGAGTAGCTTCCGCTACTTGTTGGGACCAACCATCATGTGGGGTGTGTATTGCAACTATGGACTACGTTGTTTCGTCTCTACAAAATATTGACCAGACTGATACATCGCTCATCAATACAGCCGAGTGCAAAGGTGAGTTGCATTTGTATTTGTAGCACCAGATCCCAACACCGAATTCGAGGCTGTTGAACATGTCTAGGCGCCTGGTCTCTCCTGATCAATCTCAAGTATCATAGATCTTTAATCAGCAAGCTCTTCTTAGACTAGTTGAGCCGTTTTGGAAACTAATCTGATTGCACTTCGACTTGCAGAGCTTGCACAAATTGCTCTTGTGACTGCTGCATATCCTCTCACGCTCGCCAATAGCATTGCCACATGTCTATGGGGTAATCCTGTGGACTATCTTCCACAATCACCGTCATGTACCGATTTGGACTTCAACGTTCTGGATTGGTCGGCAGCATACAAGTCATGCGGGCCCACTGCATATCGAAGCGATTTATGCTGCGATATTATCTTCACGATGACAAGCATGTTCTGGTACGAGTATGCCAACCGGACCGGTATGCTCAATTTTGAGGTAAGGTGCGTTTGCTCTGTGAGAACTTGTCAACGTCTTTGTTGAAAGGTCCATGAAAAGTTACGGGTCTGCAAGGATTTTGAGCATTGTAAGGGCAAGCAGAATGTTGTCTTCAGCTTCTTTGAGGCATTTTGGTTGTGATGTGGCACTTTTCATGCTGATTGAACGGAACATGGCTCCCAAAAAGAGGTTCATTTCGTTTGAATGACGCTCATTGCGTGTCAGGTTTTGCAAGTGTTCCTTTTTCCTAGCCAGATTGTAGTGAAGATTTTAGACAAGATCTAAAGCTGAAGACTTTTTCTATCTCTCTTTTGCAGGGACAGGTTTTGGCTTGCAGCGCCCAATTCAAGGCAGAACTTGTTGCACACGGGTTGTCTGCGACTCTTTACAACCAATGTCAACTGACCAGCTTTATCTTCCTTTTTGCTCAGAGGTGCAAAAACTTTACATCGACTCCCGTGGTCCTTCGAGAACAGTTGAATGCAGTGTGTGATTCCAATCGATGCAACAAAACGGGCAGTTGTCCTTTAGTTTTTCAACAAGTCTACACAAGCATGGCAGGGCCTGGAGCAGATATATACACGCAAGGCTTGTGTGGCATATTTTCTGCCGTTAGTTGGTATGGTTCGCTAGGTTTATCAGAGATTCAGGAACGTATTCAGTGCTACAATGGCTTTCCGGATGAGCTTCAAATCCGCTACAGCGCTGCAAAATCTGGCGGACAAAGGAAAGCTCACAGAAGTAGGAAAAAGGTACTTGTTTTAAGTCTAACCTCCATACTAGCGCTTGGCAGCGTCCTAGCATTGGCCGTCCTTGGGGTCGTCATGTGGAGACGAGTATGGCGGAGGGCAGAGCACTCCCAATCAATGCAGGACGAAAGCATTTTTAGGGCGAAATTGTTGGCAAAGTCCAAAAGCCTGGAACCCTTGCAATGGTTCTCTCTGGGGGAGCTTGAAGCTGCAACAAAGAGTTTTGCAACTGAGCGATTGATTGGCGAGGGAGGATCCGGAAAGGTCTATTTAGGAGAGTTGTTGGATGGGACACGGGTTGCAATCAAGGAGATTGCAAAGCCATCTTCGATGCGAGGTACTGAGGTACGTCTTGGCAACCATACCTTGAACCAATGTGCTGAATGCGTTGATGAGATGCTTGAATCTATGTTTGGTTGTCAACTTGGATCATGGTTAAAAGATGGTTCAAGCCGGAACTTGTGCTTCTTAGTGACTTTATTCGTTTTCTGAGAAAGAGCATATTCGGGCAAGATATTGAAAACCAATGGCTCCACGGTCCACGGTATGAGGGCGACCTACGTGGTCCAAGTTTAATGTGAGTGATCTTCTGTTTGCGCAGGAGTTCATGACGGAGGTGACTTCGATGGGGTCTTGTAGACATCGGCATATTCTTGGTATCAAGGGCGTACATGCTTCAAACGACCACGCCATGTTGATCTATGAGTATATGCCTAACGGATCAATAGAAGACCATTTATTCGCTAGCGGGCCAATCTCCGCAAGGCCTGCGCGTTCTCTGGATTGGAAGCAGCGATTCCAGATCGCTTTGGGGACCGCTAAAGGGCTCATATATCTGCATGAGGTAGGTGGCAATTCCCTGTGTCCTCGACTTGGAGCGCCTTTATGGTCGCTGTGCTTAGCTTGTCTAGAAGTCTTGCTATTGTGTCGACCACTTGATGGGGCAATAGGTTGCATGTATTTCAGGTCAGCATCTTTTCGCTTGACTGTTTTATGTTGCTGGCGGAATTCAAGCGCTTATAGAAAACAGCTCGTGACACTTTTGGCAGGTCACGTCTAGTATATGCGAGGAGCAAGCCTGTGTGCCCTAATCGTACGTGGGCTGTGTTCAAGGTGCAAAACCAATGTTTCTTTTGCTGTACAGGATTGCAAGCCTCGCATCATCCACCGGTAAGGACTCCAGCAAGTTTAAGTTGAAGGTTCTCGGCTTGCTATTGCCCTCAATCCTGGTTTAATTGAAGGCAAAGTCTTTCTGAGGAAGATCTTTCAATTATTGATGTCCTCAACTAATCAAGCCTGGACAGGGTATCTCTAGTAATTGGAACCGAATCCCTTTGAGCTACCAGTAAAATACGAAGTTTTCCTTTGTTGTGGCGCACTGTTTGCCTCATGACTTTCTTATGCAACGTCCTTGCAGGGACGTAAAACCGTCCAATATTCTCCTTGATAAGGAGCTAGAGGCGAAAGTTGCTGACTTTGGGGTAGCGAAGTTTGCAAGGGATGAGGACACGCATGTCTCTACCGGTGCGACCAACTATTCTTACTGTTTACTAATCGACATGCATTGCCAGCATTGTGATTTCGAAACAGTAGGTCAAGCTCGATGGAGAAAGGCTTCTAACGTTTGCAGTTTGTGTTTGGGCCTAGCTTAGGTAGATGGTTGCGTCATTTTTCCCTTGCTAGCACCTTGCCAGTAACTGGTTGGTCCATTGTCAATGTAACTTGTGTAATGAGAAACGACTCGAGTGTGACCTGATTTTTCTCTTGATTTGGAGTAAATTGCAAGTCAAAAGCCAACAATTTTGAATATCCATGTACCACTTTCTTTGACCTGACAGGGGTGAGAGGTACGTGGGGCTACTTGTCCCCTGAGGTAAGCGGGCCGGATGACATATCGTTTTGCGTTGTCTTCTGATACAAGTGCTCTGTGAGCCGTATGAATCTGCTCAATGTTGGATCCGGCTTGATGCTAGATTACCAATTCTTATACACAATACATGCCACGGCTGCTTGTTTACTTGATGAAGTCGTATCTCTCTATCTTACCACCTTCGACTCTAGCCTTCGATTCTTGCTTTCGAGAGCATGGGCATGGTTGCTTACGGTGCCCCACTTGCAACCTGAACAGTATGTTGCGACTGGGCAAGTCTCCGAGAAGTCCGACGTGTACGCCTTTGGGGTCGTCCTGTTGTGCTTGGTGACAGGCCGACGACCAACCGACTCCTCTAGGAACGATGAAGAGGTAAGCAGTCAATCGTGTCACCCTTATTGTACCATCTCGACTTGCAAGCCTCACGACTTTGACCCATCCTCTCGAGCGTCATCATCATCCTAATTTAAACCCTCAATATTGAATTGAGGATCTTTGTACTTTCGGTTAATAGGGGTCTGTGCAAGCTAGGACTCAAGTCTTCATGTCTATCTACATATTGTCTTGTGCCCCTCATCCAGGTATTCTTGACGGAGTGGGCTTGGACCGTGGCTAGCGGGGGCGACCTTCTAAGCCTTGTTGATCCAGCCCTGAGGACATCTGTGGACGAGCACAAATCTAGCATGCTGGCTGCGCTGCAAGTAAGTTTAGAACGCGTGGGCAATGGAGGGTGTCAGGACACAGCACACAACTTGCAAAGGTAGCAACATGTCGAATGAAAGGCAATCGCTTAGGAGATCAGATTTTGATGTCGTGTGGAATCCATCGTTCCTAAGACTTTGTGATGGCTCTCTATTGCCAGTGATGCCTGGCAGCCTCGTTTGCATCTCCATTGCTCACTTTTCCCACCGCTTGCTTGGTCAGACTGATTTTTGGGACAGTCTGATTGCAAATGCTTCAAGGAATCCTTTGAATGTCAAAGTTGAAGATAAATTGAAAAGGCAAAACAGCACACGAGATTCTTCAACGATTGCAGGTGGCTCTCCGTTGTGTCCACACGGTAGTCACTCTGCGGCCAACCATGCGGGAGTGTCTCGCAATGCTCTCTGAGCAAATGGATCTACCACCGTTGCCGCCTCCGCCTGCAACTTTGTTCACCGTGTCGTCTGGTCGTACTGGTAACACGTCCTGGTCCGAAGTCACAAAGAGTTCGAGTGTCCTTAGCACTTTATTGGTTGAGAAGTAGGCCAGCACGTAGGAAAACCTCCGAATGTTTTGGCCATGCTCGAAGCTAGCAGTTAATTTATTGTGTCGACTATTCATACAAGCATGCTTTTGCTTATGTAAAGACAACAAAGTTCTAGATTTAGAGCGCGCTTCAAGTCAAAGAGAGAAAACCCTTCAGTTAGAAGAGCTCGCGAACATTTCAGCCTTGAATTAGGCGATAACGCAACTCCAGCTCAAGTTTATTTCGATCTTGCTTGTGGATATGGTGTCTGTCAAGATCGTCGTCTGCGATCTGAAAGCGTATGTCAGGGGTCCCATGTACTAACCATGTTACTGAGCTTCGTGCATAGATATGCAAGAAGCATGTAGATCAAATTATTGATAGAGTTTTGTTGTCACGCCTCATGCCGTGCGCGAGCTGTGTGTATAGAAGCAACACTGATCCGGCAATCAAGCCCCCATCATGTAAGACAATCTGATGGTCTTTCATGTGTGATTTCAATAACAGACGGTGCTGTTAGGGAACAGCGGAATGCCTGACACTACACTTTGTCACAGAATGTTGACGAGCAACTTGAGTCTCTTTCACGACACTGAGCCACCCATACTTTTAGTATTCCCTGAAGCACAAACACAGCTTAGAGGCTTCATTCGTCTTCAGAATCGGGTCCGACACCTTCAACGATCAATTGATGAAGGTCCTGGCATGCTTGCAAAGTACTAGCTACTGCATCTTCATAGCCCGCACTCGCGCCTCCTTCCACTGCTTCGTGTATGATGTCGTCAACGTTGTTCACTTTCTCCTCAATCACAGTTGTCCTCTTCCGTAGAGACGCAATCTCTTGGGGGGGATACAGGCACGCGCCGAGCTCCTCTACTTGCAAGCAGATTTCACTGCAGGAACACACAATCGAATGATCCTCGAATCAGACGCCAAAACAACAATCATTTGACCGCTCTTTGAAATGACGTCCTCATCAGGAGCATCACAAGAAGCCATGACCGATGGCCTTCCTTAAATTACTCTCTTGGATGCCGTTTCAACTTCTGTGGTAAGAACCCACGCCCAAAAGTATGCGAGTCTGGTCTGACCAGTCTATGCTGAGGGAGGAGGAGGCCTGGCAGAATCTATGATCAAATTGAAGCGCTGACTTCTCAGTTCAAGACGCTTTTCATAAACGAGGGCCCTCAGTAGGCTCGCACTTAGTCAAAGACGTCCACAACAACAGTCGAGACCAGCAGGGAGGGGTCTTATGCCCCGTCGATGACTGAAACGTGGTCATCAGCGAATTCGGTTCCTCAAGACTCGTCTACGCATTTGCGACATTGCACCGAGCCAGCATCGCTTGCAGCAGAACCCCCGAAACGCCAGAGTCAGCATGCCTCATCTCTTTGGCCTCAACTTATCAAAGTGCCACAGCTGCACGCCTATGCACCCTAAACTTCAGAATAAGTCCCCCATGAAGACTAGAATCGTTGCTGAAGGTCACCAAAACCAAAGCAAAAATTGCTCGGACGCTGAGATGACCCCCTCGATTGCAGTCTCCGTGACAGATTCTCCAAAATATTCACGCCGCGTCCGGCTCTCCACAAGCCATTCCGCTTGTCCCTGACGCGAACGTTTCGACCAAATCAACGACCGTTCGGACAAAGCTGCGACCCCGCCCAGGAAAACCTCACCTGCAGTTCCCATGCAGCATCTCCAGCACAGTCAGCGCCGCATTCTTGGCACCCTTGACAACGAGACGCTGCACTCCACCTCCCCAGACAGGCATGGTTCCGCACGTTGCTGAAATTCAGCGCTTCCCCAACAAGAACAGTCCAAACAAGAAACGCAGTCGCCCCCACCTGCAGTCCCCGTGCACCATCTCCAAAACGTTCAGCGCCGCGTCCTATGCCCCCTTCCAGCTAGAAAAAGCACAATCGTTCAGACGCGAATGTATTACCTGTGAAATGACCCTCACCTGCAGTCGCCATGCAGCATTTCCAGCACATTCAGCGCCGCGTCCTTGCTCCAGTCCGGTGGGGGCGCCCACTTGGCCACGACGTACAGCAGCTGTTTCAGCAGCGCAAGCACGCCCTCCGCTACTAGCACCGCCGCACGCACCAGCTCCATATCTTCCGCGTCGAACTCGGGGTTGTAGTCCAGGATCTCGGCCATGTCCCCCAAATCGTCTGGCAGGCTCAATGCGCCCCTGTCGTTCGATTCCGTCTTTTGGTCCCCCCCCTGAGGTTCGGTCGTCTTTCCCCCCGTATGCGGGGCTTCGGCTATTCCCCCCGCTTGCGACTCTTCGCTTCTCGGTAACGTCTCAAACGAGGCTGAGGCTTCGTTTTCTCGCGACGCCGTCGCTTCTGCCCCGTCTCGAGCCTTTCCGACTCTCAGCCCCTCCTGCGACGCTGTCGTTTCCCCCCGACCTTGTGATACGTTCCTATCTTCTGATGACCCAGCTTTCGTCCCCCGGTCCGATGACATCCCCGCCTTCCCCTCTTCTACGTTAGGATCCCCGCTGCCAGCTCTGCTTGGTGTTTCCGAACCAGCCTTGCCATTCGTTTGACTGGAACTCGTCGAACTTCGGATGGCCGAGTCCCCCAAGTGCATCCGCTTCAAACCGTCCCCCAAAACGCTTGTTGCGTCGCGACTCTGCCCGTTCGATACCGCCGACTGGCCAGTGAGAGACGCCCCCGATGCGCCCCCCTTCGAAGCACTCGCCTCGCTGCTCGTGGTCGCCCTGCCCTCCAACGCCATACCCCCACCTAGACCTTCTCTCTCGCTCGCACTCTCACCCCCCTTATCGTGATAATCCGCCTGCCCCTGACTGCGCGTCGCACACTTTTCACCCTCCTCAAGCCGCGCCCCTTCCCTATCGCTCTGACCTTTTGTCTTTTCCTTCATTGCCCCCCCCTCCCCCCTCTCGGGCTGTGCCCCTTCCTTTCCGCTCTCCCCCCCATTTTGACCGCTGGTCGTTTCCTTCATTTCCCCCATCTCCCGCAGCGTGTCTTTGACAGTTGCCGCCAGCAGCGCAAGCCCCCTGCCCACCGCGACCTGGTTACTCGTCGGGGCCTTCTTAACCGCCTCGCAGGTTTCCCAAACCCGGCCCGCGAGCTTTGGCAGCGCAGAGGCCCTGTCTTCGGCGGTGGCGCCACGCTGGAAGAGGTCGATGCAGCCCTCCAGAAGCTGGGCTGAGGCCTGTCACAAAAACGCAGTCTGAGTATTCTTCTGACCTAACCCGAAAACCGAGTATCTAGGCAGATAACTTAGAAGGGTCGATCAAAAGTTTTGTCTTCGGCGATGGCGCCTCGCTGGAAGAGGCAGATGCAGCCCTCCAGGAGATGGCCGCAGCCTGGCAGGAAAGTGCAGAGTCTGAAGTATGAAATTTCAGCTAACAGAAAGGGCCTGATCGGAAGCTGCGCAACTCTTGAGCCACTTCATTTGCTCCACATTGTGCAGCGGGGTTTTCCGGTCCTGGAGGGCGAAACAGAACCCCCCATGTTGGATGAATCATGGCTGTACGACAGAGAGGCTGCGGGAAGCTTAGAAAAGGGGTGACGTCAGACAGGCTCGCCGTTTCATGGCAGCGTCAGATTGAGAACCACTACGGAAACAAACCGTTGAAAGTTGAAACAAACTATTGAAATTGGAGGTCAAATCAGTGGGCTTGCGGGATACAGTGGCAGACGACATTGACCGGTTGATTGGCGCACACGCTTTGCCTTCAGCCGGTGGCACGTTGCTCAGAGGTTGAACAGCTTCTAGGAAGCTGGACCGCAGCCCGGCACAAGACCGCAGTCTGAGTTTGATGCAGAAAGTGGTCACATCTAGCTTGGAGAGAATCTGGAGTAGGCACACACAAAGCGACAGCTCCTGACATCTGTGACCAGGGTAACACAGCGAGTTTACCTAATCCCCCTCATCTCTCACCAATCAGTGCCAACTTGATCAACACCAATCAGCTGCGAAATGAAGACTGAGAGATTTCACAGAGACTGAGAAATGTTAACGGGCAACTGTAATCCTGAACGAGGAATACAGCCATTCTCGATAACAAAGCAGCAGTCTCAGATCTCAAACAGCTTCCTCACATCTGCAGTAGCGGTGGCCCTGATGCTGCAAGGAGAGTCGGCCCCGCCCCACAGACCAAGAACTGTTCAGAATACGCTCGGGGAAATAGGTATGGTCTGAGTCACCCGTCAAACATCTCTCCAGATATCGTTTGTCCGTAGGAACGCAGAAACGGTCTTTTGAACTTTTCAAACTCTCCAACACACCTCAACAACTGCGGTTGCGGTGGCCCTGATTGCAGCCAGGAGCGTCGGCCCCGCCCCCGCCGTGAAGCCGTGGCAAACAGTGACGAAGGCAGAGACGGCTTGCAGGAGGACGTTGAGTAGCAGGAGCCCGTCTTCTTTGTCGACTTCACCCGACCATGCCATCGCGGCTGCAACAACGTTAGCAGTATATGCCCTGTCAGAACTCAAACAAGTCTGCAATTTCCCCGCTTCTTGACCACTGCTCAGGTCTACTTTTTCACCCCCAAAGTAGCACCTGCCACCCCAAAACCTTGTGACTAAGGCCCTCCCACTGCCAACTGTCATCAGAGAGAGGCTGTTGCGGGTAGCTTCCCTTTGTCCTCGCTCCGGTCTTGGGGGGCTTGTCATGGGCTCATCTGAATGTGAGGGCTCCGACGATCCTACAACAGCCATAGCCATGATGATAAAGGCAAGCTCTCTTGTGCTTGCGAGTCACACCACCCTTGATTTCACAGAGGAGACATGATCACAAGCTCTCTCGATGGCTTGTCAACGCACACCACCTTTGCTTTCGTTGAGTCGGCGGGAGACTGCAATGACTGGAGGTACTGGAAATGGTTGCTGCCAATACGCAGCAGTTTCTCATGTCATCAATCAAACAATCTTTCAGCAGGCTGATGCAGACCGGTCTCAAAGTCACATTGACCAGATTAGACTACGGACCTGACTACTTAACCGCTGGCCTTTCCCAACCTTGCGCCCTATCAGCATTGAGAAGCACCAGAACCCACACCCCAGAATTGGAAGACCCCAAGAATGCAGGAACCCGTGCACTAACCAACTTCAACGAAACCTACTTTTTGTGGCTTCTTTGGAAACCATGTGCGCTGCGGCCAACAGCTCGTTCCTGGTGACCTTCTCTCCGACCCCTTCCACAGCGGCAACTGTCAGCAGCTTCAATTGTTCCCGCATCATCAAAGGGCCTTTCACTTTCATCCGCGCGAGGACCGCCTCAAAAGTCTCCTCCTTCTTTCCCATACTGGGCTGCCAAGAAGACCCGGCAAAAGCGGCTCTGAATGTTTCCTTCTCCGTTGTTCTTTCAGTTGTACTCCCGGATAAGCAAACTTCGAATCACCAAAATACTACCTTTCCGACCGAGCAATGCTCTGATGACAAGTGGTGCTCCTTGGGCGCGTCCAAGAGTGTACATCACCTGCGTTCACGAAACCTGGAAAAGCAGGACAATGAGCGCCCCAGTATCCTTAGGGCCCAAGACGTCTTGAAGGTGTTGAAAATTCAGCATGGGACAAAGTTGGGAGCAGTTGAAGGGGTGCTGACCGACTCGAAGTTCCAAATTCCGTTTCCAAACTGTGCAGTGAACTTTCACCGTCACTGACATCAGCATTGAGCTGCAGACCAGCCGATGTTGCAAATTCCAGTGGCACAGAAGTCGCTCTGGGTCTGGGGGGGCCAGAAAGCTGCGACTTTTTGATGGCATTGAAAGACAGCTGTTGAAGGCTGGCATGCTGTCGCAGAACAGCATCAAAGTGAAAGCTCAACTTTTCTAAAGGTGGTGGTAGAAGCATTTTGATTCATCACAGCATTGCAATCAGCATTCATTCAGAAAGCGTACCCTGCCAAAACTGCGATTGTTTGTGAGGGCTTCTTGAGATCAGGCGGGGGTCAAAGGGCTCTCCAGAGTGGCATAACCAATTGCTACTTGCTCGTTTGAAGCATCATTCTGCGATGGCTCTTTTTAAAAGTTGGAGCCATGTGAATCAACAGTGGTGCATGACCTTGTAAAGTCGCATCCACTTTGTTCTTGCACCACCAAACTCACCATCATGCACCGCTAGTTATGCACCACAAAGTTCTTCCCTGAGAATCTGTCAGGATCCACAGCTATCAGATCACTTCACACCTTCGGAGAGGATGGCAGCTAGAGGGATCCTGGGACCAGGAATTGTTCCGACAATAATGGGAGCGAAGGCCGGTCATGCAGAGCCTCGTGCTGCTGAGCAGCGGGGACCCATCTTGAAGATCATGAAAGATGAGAGTGCTCTGAAGAGCAAGGCTGGGCCGATCGGCAGCCTGAAGATCATTGATGACAAGTGGGAACACACTGGGGAGAAAGTCAACCAGGTGCGTCTGTGTTGGCGAATGCTTTTGGGGGGACTGGGATGATTGTCATTCATCGGAAAGGATACTCAGAAGCCACCTGAGAATTGCTTCTGGAGCTGTGGCAGATTCTGGAGGGAAGAACTTGGACTGCCATAGCTGTACACTTGGTCCGCTCATCCTGCTTTTTCAGTGAAGGTCTTTGTGGCTAGATCAGGCCACGGGAAATGCACCACTCCACTCATCCAATCAGAGAATTGCCAGTGATTATGCCACAGGTATGGAGTTCCTATGGCCTCTTTTTACGACACTTGCGCTTGCGCAGAGTTCTTTGAGGGGCTCCGTATCACCTTAAACATACCCGTTCATCTGACCACCTATATTCGATTCTTCATTCCTTCCTTCCTTCCCCACTTTCTCTCCAAGGGCTCCTTCGCTTGTTCCCTGTCTGTCCAAATTCAAATGAACTCCCCGTTCCTTCGCTTCTTCAGTTCTTATCCGAAAGCAACGTTGACTACCAAGTCATTGGAGTCCTGGGAGCCCCAGGCGTTGGAAAGAGCACCATTCTGAACGCCCTATACGGTCTGGCTTCAGATCATCCAAGCATAGTGGCAGGCCGTACCCCGCCGCCCTTTGCGGTGCAGTCTGAGGAGGCGAGAATGTTGGCGAGGCATAGTTCTAGCGGGGTGGAAATGCGGGCAACTGCAGAGAGGCTCGTCCTGCTGGACTCACAGGTGAGGTTTGAATGGAAAATGAGTCGGTCTATCTAACGTTGCTCTCGTGTTCCTAGAGCCTTCGATGCCCGGGAAATTTGCCACGATGGTGCGTGCTGCAAAACTCGGAAGAAGGTGATGCGAGCGCTCTTGATTTGTACCTGACACTTTTAAATACCTGGTCTAAGTTACCATCTCTTCAAAATTGACCAGTCAGCCCATTTGGCTCGATGAACCTGTCAATTTCTCAGTGTCCAGAACCTCTCAAGTTTCATCTCACTCGCTTCCAACTCGATCAAGAGCCCACCTACGGTTCACTTTTTTCCTCGGCCTGTACATTGTAACCTGAGTCTCTTAATCCCTCCTCTTGAGGCACGTCTTGAGCCCCTTTTTTCACTGAAAGCCGGTTGTTGTCTGCGATCTCATTCCCCAGTAGTTGGTTACCCCTTCTCCGTCTTCCCCAAGACAAACACTCGCAGAGCATTTTTTGTGTTTAGTCCTTCCTCTTGCAGCCTCGTCAGCCTCTATGGCCATATATCTCACCTTAAGAACCACCTGCCACTGAGGGGCGGCTGTCTTTCCGTCGTTTTTGCAAGAGCATATCCAAAGGGATCCACGAAGGACAAACCTCTAGATCGGTGCACTCTTTTCGTTTTCCGCAGCTCTTCTCCAGCCCCGCCGTTCTTACATATCACCCGCCTCTAGCGTCTACGAAGATTCATACATTTGAAGCACTCCACTTTACCTCTTTCATCCGGTCATTTGTCGAACGACGAAATTCTGCGTCAAAGTGCTCTCTTCTGCTATGCAGCCCGTCTTCAGCCCCTCCGTTCTCGTGCACATGACCGCCCCTATCTTCTCTTTCAAAGACACTTCAATCCCCAACCCACCTTTACGCACCTTAATTTGTCCAACTTTCTAAAATCGACAAACGGTGAGGTCGGCGCGTTTTTTTGGCTTTTGCAGCTTTTCTTCGGCCCCTCCGTTCACCCTCCTCTTGCGTCTTTTTCATTCTTAGTCAAACTCTTACATGCTAATTGCTCCTCTTGATCCTTCTCATCCGGCTTCATACAAACGACAGATTGTCAGGTCAAAGGGCTCTTCACTTATTTCTTAGCCCGTTCTTTGCCCATACGCTCTCATAGATATCTTCCGCTCCAACCGTCTTTGAAGCCACCTTAATTTAGCTCCGGCTGTATCATATTCTCATCGGTCCACTTATCTATGAAGGACTAATTTTTTGAAGAGCGCTCTCTCTATTTTAGCAGCCCGTTTTAGCCCCTCCATTCTGACAGACATTCTCGCCTCGACCGTCTCTTTCCAGCAATTGTTTGTCTCTCCTCCGGCTTTTCACGAACGACAATCCTCCGAAGCAGAGCGCTCTCTTCTGCTTTCGCAGCCTCTTAAGCCCCTCTGTTCTCACAAGTGTCCGCCTCTACTGTATAATTTTGTATTGAGAGCGTCCGTAACATTACTCTCGTTCGTCCAGCTTGTTGGAGGAACAAATTTCTATGCCAAATTCCTCTCTTCTGCTTTCGCAGCCCGTCTTCAGCCCCTCCGTTCACAATGTTATCAACCCCGCCTCTAGTGTCTACTTCGGTGGCAATAACGTATCTTCGCGCCTCTTGATTCCAATCATCCGGCCTTTTTTGAACAACAGTTTTCTTAATCAGACCGCCTATTGTGCTTTTGCAGCCCGTCTTCAGCCCCTCCGTTCTCACTGACATCACCCGCCCCGACGGCTCCTCATCTGTGACTCCATTTCCGGGGGATCCCCCCGCAGCGGAGCTTGCGCTTGAAGCCATGGCGCTGCAGCAGGCCGTCTTTCTCCTCTCGGTGTGCCACGTCATCATCGTCGTCAGCGAGGGACTAGAGGACCGCCGGCTGTGGGAGCTGCTGCATGCGGTGAGAAGCTGACACCTGTCTTAATGCCACGTGTCTTATTTCCTTTGTCCTCTCCCATGCCAGGGTTCAGAGTACAGCAGGCGATGAGAGCACCCGTCCCCGAACCGACGCTGACCCAAGCATGCTTCTGACGGGGGCGTTTGCTGACGTCAAACTCAAGACACGTGTTTGAATTCCCATCGGCGTCGGAACCGGCAGCAGCTGCCATCAGCATTCATTCTTGCCACCCGCGGTGCCATCCGCATAGTTTACGTGGGGACGCGGGCGTCGGCTGACAGTAACAGGCAGGATTGTACTCTGCCCTCCTGTCCGAACTTCGGTACGAACCAGAGGTGGATGCTGCCATGAACCTGCGGTTCCGAAACCCCCGCGAAAAGGGTCTACTTTTATGTTTGGTCTCCTCGATGGACATGCGCTCTCATCCAGTTCTCTTCGACGTGCAATGCTCTTTCAATTTATTTTATCGCTATGCCTTCCCACCGAATTGCAGTTCTTGTAGGGGCGGTAGGCATTTCATGACCGTCATATGTCGTCGTCAACGGCAAGACTTGGACGGTTCACGTTCTAAACAGCACTTGCGATGAGACCCTCGGTTTCGCTAGATCCGACGAGGCGTGTACGTCCTTTGCCTACTTCAAGCGTTCCTAAATCAGCGGTGTGATTCTTTTTCCTCCTTCGAAGTTCCGCTTCCTTTGCCACAGCTTGCGCTACCGCCCGCGCTCTCCGGCATTCCGTTATTCCGCTCTTCATTCCTTCAAAATTCCGGCGTCTGTGACTGCGCTTCACCAGTCCTTTACCCACCCGCTACTTCGGGCTCAAAAACAGGCCGATTATAAGCAAGCGTTTTGCATAGCTTTACACCAGGTTACGAACCGCACGGGCTAACGATTGGCCGTTCCTCCAACCGTGTTTCTCTTTGACCAGGCGCAGCTCCTTCGCGACCGCATCTACCGGCCTCTCAGCATCCGTCCCCCGACTCCCCCCTCCCGCCAATCAGAACCCGTACCCAGCCAGTCCCCGCGGCCTCCAAACGAAAGACCCGGTTCTAGTTCCAGCGGCGTGACCGCTTCTCAAGCGTCAGGACGGGGCCAACCGGGGGGACCCGTTTCTCAGACGGGGCCACCCATCCTTTCCCACCCTCACCTTAACCCTAACCCTAAACTTAACCAACCCGGGGTCCGGCCGTCGCAAGGGGACAGTCGACCAGGGTCTGCGGCCAGCTCGCGGGAGGAGCCGCAACGGCCCAGTTCGGCGTCCGCCGGGCGCCCATCGGAATTCCGCCCACCAGAAGCTCGGAGGAGCCCGGAAGAACGGCCGCAGCGAGCGGGGCACTCCCCCGAGGTCGTCTTTGTGGCGACCAAGCTGAGGGGGAGCGAGCTGCTAGGTGGGCAACTGCGAGCGGCGCAGGAGGAGTTAACAGCGGCGTTCCCCGCTTTGGCTGCGCCGCGATCTGGACCGGGTTTGGACGTGGTACAGACCGTACGAAATCGGACGTACGGACCAGGGACAGATGGCGCTAATGGGAAGGCTCGACGGAACTCAAGCGAGCGGAGCCGGAATGAACGGCTGCAGGCAAGCGGAGAGTCGAATGCAAAGGGGGAATTGAGAGACAGTCCTAGTGTCAGCTTCTATGGTCTGCCGGCGAAGGGACCCAACAGTGCGGCGTTTGAGAGTTTTCATTTGTCTCTGAGGAGCTTGCGCGATCAGATTCTAGGCATCCCGAGAAGGCACCTTCTGGGGAAGCCGGTCACTGAGGCCAGCTGGCTGAGGTATACCAACAAGGTCTGGAGAGACGTACGAGAGTCGGACGCAGTCAAGGAATATTGCTCTTTACTGCAGTCAGATGGCTTCTTCCGTTGATCTTATGACAGCTCTCCATGACTGTCGACGGCTCTCATCCGGCTGCGAGGCACATGGCCTCAAAATGGAGCAACGTATACTAACGGCATGCCACAGTTGCATTTAGTCGCGGATACTTGAGTTGACATCGCCAGATCTTAATGCCCTCTAGCCTCTTGAGTAGATCATGTTCCAATTCGGGCATGGTGACGTGTAACATCGGGCATGCAATGTTCCTCGAATAATGATGCACCGGGCCCACGGCGTACACAGAAATAAGGTAATTATTATGATAGGCGGGCGCGGCCCGGCCCAGGCTGGTCGGCCGGGGCGTAAGGCTGCCGCCGCTTGTTCTGATCGTTGTGGCATGATCGCTATATATACAGTTTGCGGATACGGCATCCGGGTAGACATTTCGTTTGGCCACGTGCATATGTGAAAATTTCGCGCCGCCGGGGCGGTCGCGGTATTAATTGATCAATTTAAGTAGTTACAGCTCTCCACTTCTGTGGTGACGTACATGTCTACTTAGACGCGCCTGCCGCAGTTCGACATCATTACAAACTTAGGTATTAACATTTGACAAGTTCCATTTACACCATTTTACGAGGCCCGGTGCTATCATGGTACATGCTGCGCCCCGTGCAACTACTATACCAGCCGTCGGAAGAACAACGTACATTGACCGAACTCTATTCCCTTGCGGTCCATGGTCTGTAGCACGTATACTGCGAGGTCCAACAAGTCTCCTTTGCCATGCACTTTCAACGACTCGTCATGAAGAGTTTGCATTCCCAAACTCTGCAATGCCCTGGGTCTGTCCGCAGGGTTCGCAATGCCCAAACGGCAACGAAATAGAAACAAAGAAAACCTTTTTAGCTACGCGACATTTATCAGCAAGAAAACCTGTACAACGGGGCAATAAGAACAGTCAAGTTTCTACCTACACCTAACAACAACACAGATTCCTGTTTCAGCTTACCCAATATGGTTCTATTGCTCCACTGGTTGTGACCTTTCCAGTGCTGCAGAAAACGCGTAAAGCAACGTCAGCAAATCGCAATCGCCATCAGGAGCCGCAACGCCAGATACAACATCTGTCTCTCTGCGACGGCCAACCGAAAACCGTCGAAAGCTTTTGGGCAGCGATTCGTCAGGCCCTAGGATACCCAGATAACCAATCTTTCCTACCACTCACTTAAGAAAGACATACCGACGCAGGATGGCAGCCAACAAAAACAATTTCCATCAGACACAAATGGGCTCCAAATCTAGATCCAGAAGAAAGTCAAGAAAGAGAACTCCGAGAAGACCTGAACAGTCTGCTGCTTCATCAATTTCAGACTGAGCGGTGGTGCACTTACTGTTGTAGTTCAGAAGCTTTTCGATCAGATCCACGTGGGTCATCAGCATCCGTCGACAGCAGTACCGGACCAAGCCCAGCGCATCGAGGGCGTCTCTGCAAGTTGTCAAAGGTAATAAGATGCAGGGCCTAAGCGGAGGCAGACTCGCTCGTGTTCCATATCTCGAGCCTGTTGCAGGTGTGTTCCACATGACGTGCACACCGGTCGCATTTAAAATGGCCAGCCCAATGTCAATGGTCAACTTCTGAAAAGCACGTGGGCACACGGGGCCAGCTGCCGCCAGCTGCCCAATGAAAGGTTGGGGAATATACCACATGATCAAAGATTGCTCGGACCTCCTGCCGTCATGTTGAAACTGGATTTCATGACCCAGTTAGCAACCCCAAACTCAGTAGCTAAGGCGGGCCCCGAACATCCTGCTGCACTCATCCAGACGCACAAGCTTAAAGCAATCCACCCATGACCAGCTTCAAATAGCTCCTGCTGAGCGGGTCAGCGGAGCTTCAGAACATGGAAGCAGCGGCTATTGCTAGATCAAACGCTCAGAGCCAAAAGCTGCCACTCATGGTCTAGCAGCGAAATGCTGGCACAGTACCAAGTGCCTCTGGCCGTCCATCGAAGCCGCAAAAGCTCTTCCGCCATACACCCCGCGAAAAGCGGGCTGGTTTTAATCACACAACAAGGGGGATCTTTCCATCCTCTCTTCCTAGATGTCTGGCGCCAGCAACATAATCTTCTGAGCTCATGTTCAAAAGCCCAGTTAAAGGGATTCCAGCCTTGTGCTTCTTCTTGACCAAAAGATTGGCGTCTCCTGGCATAAGAATCCCACAACTTTCTCAAATTGGAAAGTGGTGGTGCAAGAAAGTGAAAGCACCAAACAAGCGGCGTCTTACCCTTCCGAGTAGTCGGCCTGGAGCAGCTCAAGATAGGTGTCCCATTTATTCCCAATCACCTGCAAAATGGTCTTCCGTATTTGACTTCATGCTGTAACCTGACAATTGGCAAACCCAATACGTCCAGCCCGCTGTCCGTGAGAGAGCTCACACCTTTACCAGGAAAGCCCTTTTGCAGCTGGAAACAGGGAGGAGCACTTCGCATCAGAGCCATAGGAATGTAGGCTTGAAACTCAATGTTCAAGGCCGCCACTTTTGAAAACCAAGCCCGCTCTTGCAGCCAACAACACCTTTCGTAAGAGACAACACCTCACCTTGCCACATGTGAAACACCTGACGGGAATAATCATCTTGCCTTTCTAGCTGCCCCCCTAATAAGAACACAGCGGCGAGGCAGCCGCCAAAAGCCCCTCCTCCTGAAGCTGTGCGGAGGGTTTTGAAAAGCTAGCCAGCTGAAGCTGGGCCAAGCACATCCACCAATTAACTAGCACTTGGAAAGAGCAGCCAAAGCTTTTGCTTGCCCGGCACGCAACCTGGCGCAACTTGCGCCTGTCACGTCGATCCCGGCCCGGGCTAGCAAAGAACGCGGAACTTTGTCTTTTCGTGCAACTTTACCTTTCTCCGATTCGTCGAAAGACGTGCAAGTCAAAATCCTAGACTCTAATTGGCCAGGCGGCTTGCATTGCTCGCAGAGCGACACTTGGCGGTCAAGGAAGCGCCGTCAGTCGTCATCCTTCGTCGACGGTCTCCGTCTTGGAAAGTCCCCCGCCAATGATTGACGACGTCGATCTCGTCATTGGCGTCCTGCTAGCGGGAGCCGGCCCATGGGCGCCCGCGCCTCATAAGCTATATCTCAGGCTATATGCAGATCACGGAGTCAGACTGTTTCCACAATGATCAGCTAATGGCGAAGGCTGAGGGTTACACTGCGCCAGAAGTCAGGCATGCCAGTCGGTTTAAAGGTTCCGAATTAAACACTAGTAGTAGTTAAAGCGCACTTCACTTTCCCTTCGACCAGACCTTTGGTTTTGGCATTTTGTTCACCTTGATTGCAGCAACTCGCCAGAGCTACTGTACACGGTTCCTCACTTCCTGAAAGCAGTGAGCAACTTTCCTCTCAAGCCACTCAGCATCGAAGGATGGCTAGTACTGACGTGGAGAAGCGCCCAAAGGCCTATCACACGGTGAGTCACCTAGCTGCCGCGTTGCGGATCCGGAATGTGGAGTATGTGCCAATTGCATCAGGAACTTGTTCATTCTCGGTTCTATTTGAGTCCAACCTTAGGACAACGCGTGTCATTCTGAGTCGATGTTTACTGCCGCTCAGTTCTCTGAAGTTGTTCTAAGTCCAAGTTTTTTCACTTTCAGTGTACCCACAAGGTTGGCAAATGCTAAAATCAGTTGGGCATACTGCAAACTTGGCTGAGCGTATATACTAGGAGCCTCTTTGACATCAGATTGTCTGTACCAATACTGCTGTTCGAATTTGCGGTTAGAAAGTGAATAGAAGTCAGTGTGGCAAGAGCACTGCGACAGCGCTTGACTCGCTAAAAGTATTACTGCCAGAATTAGAATCGAATGCATCACAGATTTCACCCTCTTGGACTTTCTTCTTTCTATTCTGCCTCTACCCTACTACTCCAGGCCAGATTGCATCCCCTGCGCAGCATCTGATCCTTGTGCAAGGTTTCCTCGTATAGTGCCTGCTGTTTCAGCAGACTGCACGCACTCTTACAAACGAATTCTGGGCACCCATTGATGTTTTTTTTCAATTACATCCTGTCCAGACGAGAATACATCTACCACTGAGAAGCTCAATGATCGATCGACTCACCTGCTTTTCTCTGCAGCTGACCGGTCCTCCCTGAACAATTCCCTTTGAGCCCTTAAGTCTTTCAGTTCTTGGGCACGTTTCCTGTTTCCTCTCGCAGTTACAGTGTCACGGAGTCTAAATGCTCTCTTTTGAACTCTTGACTCTCTCTGAGTTCCATCTTACACCGAGAAGTGAATGTTAAAACTGCTTCCGCTTTTGCAGCTGACCCCCTACCTGACGTTCAAAGGCGCATCCCAGGCCATGGAGTTCTACAAAAGTGCCTTTGGCGCTACCGAAATCTACTCCCTCAAGGGGCCTGGGGGGATCATCGCTCACGCCGAGATGAGCATCGGCGATAGCCGTTTCATGCTGGCGGACGAGTCCCCGATGCGCGGGAACAAGGGCCCGACCAGTTTGGGGGGCACCCCGGTTAGGTAAGAGCCTCGAACTAGAAATGCGGGAGGCCCGTTAAAAAAGAGCGACTTGAGCTTTCGAGGAGTCATTGCGGCTGTAAAATGCGGTGGAGTAACCTCAGTGTTGGCGTCATAAGCTATTGAGTCCTTTGTCTACGAGAAGCGAACTCGTTGGGCAGACTACCAACTCGCAGGAGCTCCACAAGAAATCTCCCGCATGCTTTCACCCCCGTTGGGAGCGACGCCGATCGCGAGTGTGACAAAAATCCTACCCCAAATGTTCACGCACTCTGCACTTGTAAGTTGAATTTGACTAAACCCCACCCGTTCTCGACTTCCTATTCACAAACTCGTTTCCCTTTCCGTTCAGCCTCATGATGTACGTGGACGACTCCGACGCGGCGTTCGAGCGCGCGGTCAAGGCCGGGGCGACTGTTGCGATGCCGGTGCAGACACACTTTTACGGCGACCGTTCCGGTTCCGTCGTCGATCCGTTCGGGCACAAGTGGGACATCGCAACCCACGTGGAGGACGTCAGCCCCGAGGAGATCCAGAAGCGCATGGCGGCGATGGGGCCCCCCGGCGAGAAGTAGGGGGGGTGCGCATGTTGGAAGGTGAGCTGATTGGGTTTCTTTGTAAATATTTAGGTGGGTTTCTGAAGGCTTGCGACCAGGCGTTTTGGACCCCCGAAAAACTTCCCTGAAATCGCGTCTTTTGAAGAGAGTTGAATGCGTTTCTGTGGGTCTGCGAAAAGCTTCGGGCCCCCGAGGGGAATAGGGGAGTCTGCCTCAGGGGAAAATGAAGTGACCGTGTCTTTCAAAGATATGAATGTGCGTTCTGTAAATTGCGGTCTGGCTTTCCGAGGAGAGTTGACGAGGTCGACTGCCGGATGGGAGGCGTCTTAAGAGGCGCTTGCTCAGAAAGTCACGCAGATGATTCGAGTCTGGCTTTATCAAGTTCTGAAAGTGAGTAAACTGATCTACTTGTGTTGGATGATAATTTAGCGCTTTCGGTGGCAGGCTGTTTTATCGTCTCTAAAAGCGTCTCGATGTTTTTGAGTGTGTGCCGGAGTCTCGCGAACGTTTGAACGGAGAGAACAAGGTCTTCTTTGCGAATCTGGGCAGTACTTTGTCTTTGACTTTGACGAATCCAAACCTGTCCTGCAAAATGTGTTGGGCAAACCAACACGTAAAGGTAACAAGTTTCACCCGTAGGACGCTGTTTCCACTTTCGTCCTCAAAGACGCCCAAGAAACTGAGCAAAAGAATCATCGTGTCTCGCGCGAAAGCAAATTGCTCTTTGCTTTGTTATTCTGCATGATCCGACAATCCTCCGAAAACTTATGAGGCTCTGTTGTCCGTTTCGATATGAACGGCCAGGGCTGCCCTCCTCTTTCAAACTTATATCTGTCGACCTTTGGACCCAGATAGTCGAAGGGGAATTGGCGTTTGAGAAAGGATTTGAGAGGCCGCCTGGTATATCCCTGTAGGCCAATCCGGAGCATGTCCATGTAAGTGCGGGGGTTCTGTAGGCACGGTCTCTGAATCTATCCTACCTTTTCCGACGCAGGCCGGCGCTTAATGACCACTGTGTCTGCAGTTCACAACAAGCAGCAACTTACCCGCACTTTGTGGTCTGGAGTAGGCCGTGAACTATGGAATAAAGTCGTCAGGGTTCGTTCTATGTGGTTTAGGCTTACGTACCATCTGGCAGCAGATTCTCTTACATACTCACAAGTAGAACTTCTGGTGTTGAGGATTCAGGGACCGCTGACTGCTGTGCTAGTCTTGAACAAAAACTTGGACAAACATGTAAGCGCTTGAGTACGAAGTCGCTTGTAGATATAAAGGAATGCGGTTTGCAGTGTTGCCAGACCGTTCGATAGATGCGCTGTTGTATCGTCCCAAGCACGACCGTGTTCTAAATCAATGTCTCGCTGACCCATTTAAATGTTTTCACATCTTTCTGTCGATTCATACCAAACAAGTGATCCTGACGGACAGGCCAAAATTACATCGACCGGAAGTTCAACTGCGCTCAAGTGGGTCTGATCGACTTGTGCCGCATCTCTGACTTTCTACATGGGCTCCAAACGCATGGCCGGATGCAATATCGATCAGGCCAGGATATGTCCATCTAGCTGGTTATGCGTCCGAATCCAGGCTCGTTCGATCGCATGTGTTTGCAAAACAAACGCTGTGTTGCTCACGAGTGCAACAGGCCGAAGCTCTTCCTATACTTCCAAAGGTGCCCATGTTCATTTGACCGTAGCTGGATATATATTGGCAGCGCCATGTTTACTAGCTAACCTTCCGACATTATCAGCACAGGTGAACAAATTATCGCGCGCGCGCGCGCGGACGTACATAAAGCCAATTGCGCTGATCGATATCCTCTACGTACTCTTCGTTCGTGCAAACGACTCCCGTCACGAATCACTCCAATGGCGTGGCACGGTCTCGTTAAGATAGGTTTCTTTGGGCTAAAGCAGACTGATGGGTAAACATCCAACTACATTATTGCAGATTTCGAGGCATGCTCCGATATATGCCGGACCGGTAGATGGCATACCACATAATGATCGCAGAGTTACAAAGTCCAGGTACACATGGCGCGGCCACGGCAGTTGTCACGGCTTTGCATTCAAGACATACGCTGCTGCCCACTTCATCGAGCACCGTCATGCTCGGTAATCTTGGTGACCGTGAATCTCCATGCAGACCAGTGAGTTCACTTTGAAAGATCGGTCCGATGCAACAAGCATCGGATGGTCTGGTCGAGTATGCACGTTGCTTCTCCATACCAACTTACACGTCTAAAATGCGTGATCAACATGCGACGGTGCCATTCTCGTGACTGCTCCTGGCCCCAAAGGACCGCCAATTTGCTTTCCCGTATTTCCAAGCAACGTGTACCATGCCCAGTGAATGTCACGAAGCAGCCGATAAGACTGGCATCAATGCTGACTGCACATGTCCGGATGCAACTCCCCTTGTAGCGGACAGTAGGACAGCACTTTGCCTATATGCATCAGCGATGACCAAGGTCGTCTGACATATGGGCAAGCCCGTCGGCTCTTCCTGCTGCACGAAAAAGAAGCACAAGCACCTGTCATTGAAAAGTTGAGGCGGGTGCTCATTGTGGCCCTTGAAGATGTGGAGGGGTCATATAATCAGAATTTATCAGGTCATCCTTGCTCCCTGCATGCTCTATTTGCCTTACTACTTCGCGAGTATCCGAACCGCCACCCAAAGCGTGAATCCAGGCTGATGAGTCAGACTGCCTGCCCGTAACCCCAGGGAAGTCCCTTGAGAGACAATTCGAAAGAGCAGACAGGTGATCCGCGTAGACAAAGACAGGAAGCAAGTCTCAACCGGGAAGCGACAGAGGACTGGGAAGCACACAGTGGGGCAGTCTAGATTTGCTTACCGGCACGAAGCGTTCTCTCACTTGGGGAACAGTATCACGGAAGCGGCGAATCGCCCTTCCACCGGAAATGCATGCTAGCTGGCACGATTCTCGACAGGCTTACAGTCCCGCCCTCTGCAAAGAAACAAGTATGGGCCGCTGTTTAGAACCGATGCAGTCGTGAGTCGTCGGGCGCTGACAAAAGACGCCGCACATCAACGGAATGAGAATGAGAATGCTCGTGGGCACCGAGATGCGGAAATATCAAACGAACGGGATCGACGGCTTGCCGTCAGATGGCGCGCGTCTCGTTTCATGCCGCAGAACAGCCAGTTGTGCGTCAAAAGACAAGGCTCGAGAAGCGACAAGATGTTTCTGAATCGACAAGATGCAGCAAGAGTAGGGCCAAAGTAAAGAGCCTCCGAGAAGCGTTTGCCATCCTAAGCTGCAATTGAGCTGCCTTCTGTTTTGAGTTGATCGCTCACGCAATCTGTGACTCAAGTACCAGAACACGAAACGGGAAAGGTCCACTGGCTTGTTACGTTCACTTCGACTTCGTTTGCATGCTACACCGTCAGTGTGCAGATAAAATACTGAGGACCGCCAAGCAAGTCATCAGCGTGCCTGATACTGCGCGAGACTAGGTTCGACTCGATACTCGCCACCCTTCAATCAAGACACCGCGAAACTTTGTCCTGACCGTGACTCAACCTCCGCGGGTCACGACGACTTGCTTACCACGACTTTTCCGTACGTCCCAAACATGTAGCCGACAGCCGCAAACTGCAGCAGCAGCGTTGCAAGGCCGATGTTGTACCCGCTGGAGAGCCCGCCCCAGACGACGGTCCACACGCCCGCCACTGCCAAAGTGAGCAGCCCGCTGGTCGCCTGCTCCTCCCGCTGCCGAAATAACCTGGAAAAAACAGAGTTATCCCTACCGTTAATCAAGCTGAGCAAACAGTTAACCAAGCTGACTGCGAATTCAGGTACACTTAATTAAGTTTGATACCTTTTGGGAGCTAAGAGCAATAAAACGCTCCCGTGGGGCGGGTGAGTTTGGTATGATGGTTAGGATGGGTTTGGGCGCGGAGCGAGTCGTGTTTACAGGTTAGGTATTTTTGTTAAGCGACTTGACCGGGTACTTTCGTTTATGCATTGGATTTTGTCGGCATTAGCCATATCGGGTGACCGGGCAGTCTGGCTTTTGGCTAGTTATGTACACTCAAAAATGGTAGGAGGACGATTGAGATACCCAATCCACCGACTTTAACCCAAACTCGTGTAGAGCAGGGAAGGGAGACGGTGTATCGTGAGTGTCTTGGCCAGACTCTCTTCGCTCTTCAAGATGCTCCATAAGAATGAAGAGACGCGCTTCTTGAGGCGGACTGAGGCATTTGGGGATCGAAGGGAGTCACATCAATAGGGGGACGAACCATGCGGGATCAGACAAAGGGAATCAGCAGAATCGACTGTAGTAGGCCCGTGGGAACCGAGACAGCGTACACGTATCGTTTGACGACTCGGTTGAAGGCTCGCAGAAAGAAGGTTGGGGCGTACCTAGCTCCGGCTTCTTTGACGGAAGGGATCTGCGGAACGATACTACACATGCTCAGTGTTTGAATCAGACATGCATGGGCAGCGAACAGAAGGAAAACTGAGACAATATCATCTCAACTCGTTGCTGGAGGGAAGCGTCCGAACATTTTGCTTGTACATCCTGCGGCATCAGAGTCAGACGACTAAAAATTCTGCGGGAAGCGAAACTTTAGAAGGACCATTCAGATGGAGTCCCTGTAAGCGTCCAACAAGTCAAGGGCTCCAGATGGAGGATTTTGGGTTGGAATCGAGGCAAGAGCGATGAAGGATGCATCTGTCCAAAGAGCGGCTCACCTCTCTTGTGAACTTCGTGATGAGGAAGACTGCCAGCATGATCACCAGCGACACTTCCCACGTGCTCTGCTCGTCAGCCAAATACCTGCACGAGATACAACGTGTTTGACTCATTCTGGATTCTCATGGTAGGATCGGCGCCTGCTTGATGTACCAAGCTGTGAATGTCTGGCAGCCTGGGGTTCTTGGGAAAGTGTTCACTGGCTGCCTTTGTCTCAAGAACTACAACCAGCAATCATACCTGAATGCCAGCGTTCAAGTTCGGTGAAAAGAAACCGTCAGGAGGCGCTATCAGTACAGCCCCAACAAGTCAAGCATAGCGATGTAGTGCAATCTTTGAAAATCTCGACGAAGGGAAGGAATGAGGAGACGCACCCGCCTACTACAGCAACCTCCAGATCTGTGAAGAATAAAGTTTGAGAGTTTGCCACCAAAGAACTCACGCTGCGACCGTGTGCGCCAGGCTCGCAATGATGAATGCCTTCCACAGGAGGAAGAAGAGATTGAAGCCCCTGCCCGGTTGCTTCTGCTTCCGCCTGCGGCGGTTGAGCACACCGGTGGGGCTTCTCTCAAACTGCCCTCGCTCGTTCTTGAGAGAGTCTGCTGTGTCTACGGAAGGGGAGGATTGTGGCTGTGGTCTTGGCGCGCCTTCGTAGATGTCTATCCTCTCACCTTTACCTGCTTTAATTGGCAATAGTCCCCGTTGAAGCTGCAGAACAATGGGAGATGCTGTGGTAAGCGTCCAAATCAAAGCATTCAAACTCTTCGAACTAAGGACAGAATACAGTAGGAATAAGTCTTCCAGCGCCAGAAACTTATCATTCTTGCAGGCTAGGAGCTCTATCCGTGAAGCTGATCGAGGCTCTCGGCCCGAACAACCTTTCTGGTTGAAAGCGAGGTTGCAAAGGGTTCTGCCAAGAGCAGAATCTGGGTGACAGCACTACGTCCGAATGCAGGAAGTTCGATGCTCACCTGTCGATTCCTCAAACCTCTCCTTCTTAGTGGCGGCGGCGGGGCATGCCGCCAGTTACAGTCTTTCAAGCTGTTAAAGGAGGGCCAACGCGATCGTGCAGCAGCGGGCGCATGGCGTTGTTGCTTGCGAATACAGACTGGTGGCGCCTTGAACAATCTAGACCGCGCTGCGCCCATGCTAAGATGCTGCAGAGTCAAACAGAGGGATCTTAGACCCGGTCGCCAGAACCTTTTGGTTTCAACTCAAATTTGCTCCAAAGCTTCACAGTGAGTAAACGAGCAGCCATTAAAAATTTTCTGAGGGTGGTGCAAAAGGACTCGTTCGGTATAGCACAGAACACTTCTTAGGGTGGTGCAAAGGAATCACTTCAGTATAGTGGTTTAAAGCACCTTTGATGGCCCTGTAGAGCATTGTGTTCAATGACACGAGCGAAAAAGTTAAGCAAACAACCTTAGCAATCGCATGACATCAGTGGGTTGTGACGAGGCGATGGTAAGTTATATGTAACCCTCTCTTATGGTGACAGCATTGTTCGTCCAGACATGCCATGCTAAGCTGGCAGACCGCAGTGGCCCTGAACGCCGCACTCCCGACTCCATTAAGGGCTTCCTTCTGGATTTCATCAGCTGAAAGCGATGTGAAAGAGGCCGGCCATCTCACTTGTAAACAAGGACATGCTGCTTGGGCATCCACAAGCGCCCCTGCTGCACATGGCCTATCCATCGTCCCGGAGCCGCCCTGTGACGTCGCGCAGCTTGTAGGCTGGGGACTCTTGGTGCGAAGACGTCAGAGTAAAGTCAAGGAAAGCAAAGCCGCTGCAAGATTCAAAGAAAACGCAATATGATAACAAAGCCACAGCCTCAGGCCCAAACTTAGAGCGTCTGCAGACTGCAGCCAATGATCATCAAACTCAGTTTCAAGCTCAAGTCAAAGTGGCGAAACAACATGTCAGCTCAGACTCAGACTGCACACTCTTGCTTCTGGTCCAGGAGACCTTTCGAAAGTCAGACTTGAGGACATGCCACCATGCATCAATGGCGCCTTCCAATGTGAAGGGTTCAGAGCTCATAAAGCCACATTCTTTGCACCAGCCTCGCAAAGGCAGTGTTCTGCATTGGAAGGTTTCAGCACATTTTTGGAGAATGGCGGATAGTGATTCGGCGCAGCCAACGAGCAGCTCAGAGAACGACTCAGAGTTTGCAGCATTGCTTGAGGCGGAGCTTGACAAGGACGATTGGGGGTCAGAAGATCAAAATGCGGCTGGCGTGGACAGTCACAGCCATGAAAGAGTTGACATAGAGTAAGTGATCAGCCAATGTGAACAAACTGAGAGGCAGCACCGAATGCCGTCTCAGAATGGTCCTGCTCAGCTGTCACTCCTTAGGGACCCGGATGAACAAGGACATAAGTTGCAATTGCGACAGCGTATCTTGTTGACAGGCGCTTCTTTTTGAGCAGATTGCATGATAGGTTGGTGGTGCATGATTGATCATCTGAAAGAAGAGTTGGACACTTCTTATGCCCTGACTTTCCTCGTTACAGGGATGTTGACAACCAGATAGGGGCGCAAGTGGCGGAGGCACCGTTGATAGGACATGCTGCTAGCCAAGCCGTTGACGAACCAGGTGGGGCAGAAGGGAAGGGCAAGGAGGCCGGAATCTGTCCTCCCCACCCCGGATACATGTGGAACATCTGCATTCGCTGTGGGAAGGCAAAGGAGGAAGATGATGATGAGAAAGGAGTGGCCCTACGGTATCTTCATCAAGTGAGACCTTCTCACCAAAACTTTGTAAACATCCACATCTATGTGAAGATCGAAGAAAGGACGTTTGGTTAGCTAGTCCCCACAGGTTGCACTTTGGTTCTTAAGGCTGCAAATTTTGCTTCTGTATTTGATTTTGAGCTTCTATTTTTCCTTTTCACCCTCGTTGCTCTTGCCTTTCAAGTTAATCAGTTTGGCAAGCACAATAGAGCTTCACCAACACAACCACCCAGGTTAGGCTCTCAGTAAGCTCCGGATGCAGGGGTTGGAGGTGAGCGCGGTCGAAGCGGACCGTCTCCGAAAGGACGACCTCCAGAAGCTGCTGGCGCAGAAGAAGCTGTACCTGGTAGTGGACCTCGACCATACGTTGCTCAACTCAACAAGGATGGCCGAGGTGAGGCGTCTGCCCGCACAGACGGACTGCGTCATTGCCCCAGCTCTTTACACCACTGACGAGGCTTCTTTGAACCGCAGTATGTTGTTGAGAAGGCTTGCCTGAACTTCAACTGGCGCATACAGCTTTACTGGGCCACAAAGGTACTTCTGACTGTGTACCGTGCCTGAGACTGGAATTTGGATTCTGCCTGCTCTGCTCATGCCAGCAGTCGTCATAGTTGATGGGAAAGCAGATTTGCCAACCATGCCACTATGCCAGCCTCGTCTCCAAATGAACTTTCTAGTGCCACATGAACATGCCACCCAAGCTACCACGTTAGACACATCAGCCCTTTCACAATTTCCACTCCCGTCCTCATTCCTTCTTTCTAATCATAACCTTCCTCCAGGTCCCAGACAGCGACGCCGCCTACCTCCGCTCCGCCTACAGCCCCACCACAGTCTTCCCCCCCGCCGCCGCCCCCAGCGCCAATGAAGACGACCTGCTGTATCAGCTGCCGCCTCTGTCGATGTGGACCAAGCTACGGCCGTTTGTGCGCGAGTTCCTGGAGGAAGCGGCGGGGCTGTTTGAAATGTACGTGTACACCATGGGGGAAAAGCTGTACGCGCAGGTGACCCAGGCCGCCTGCCTCTCACTGTCGCCTTTTTACGAAACGTGCTGAATTCTCACCTGATATCGTTAAGACATGCCGAAACTTATGAAGGAAAAGAACATTTGAGCACGGCGAAAGACTTGGATCGTGCGTTGTCAGAGAGTGCAGAGGAGTCGCGGAAGAGAGAGCACCGTTTGTCAAACGGCTCTGGAAGGTTTGTCCAAAACTCCAGATCTTGGCCAGTGGCTCTTTGGATACTCGACAGAAGAAGTAACTTTAAAGGCATACCTCGCTCCTGTTCCCGTCTAGCTTTCCTAAGCGTTTGGCAGCGGCGTTGACAATCTCCTTTCCACCAGCTCAGCTGGGCTTAATGGCACAATTTAAGCTTGTGATTGTCGAGACGAAATCCCAGCGTTCACGGTCGAAGGTACACGGTCTGTTGAACGGTTGCTTCCAGGCGTTGATACCAGCCTCAGTGCAATTCACCCGCTGAAACCATTCTTTCGTCAGTCTACCAGCAGGCCCTTACAAGTCACTAATCTGGTTCTAATTCTCGCTTATGGCTGAACGAGAAACTCATTGCAATGTATGTGCAGGCCATGTGAGGCCTTCGTATGTAAGGCAACAAGCGTGTCTCACTCACTGGTATACATCCCATCCATCACCTATTGCTGAACAAGCTTTACATCGTCGTATGCGTAGGCGATGGCCCGGTTGCTGGACCCCTCTGGGCGGCTCTTTGGGGAGCGCGTGATCAGCCAGCAGGACAGCACCAGCCGCAAGACCAAGGACCTGGACGTCGTGCTCGGGGCGGACTCCGCC